ATTATTCACCATTGAGGGGTGGTTGTTTTTTGAAAGGGTGGGGGTAAGCTATGGCTACTTTGCTGAGCTGGGCAGCTTACTCAGCCCCTCAGACTTCAAGAAGTAGACAGAGCCCATGACGTTGCAGTCTACCCTCTGGTCCACCCTGGTCTCTGGGAACTTTGCCTTCAGTTGCTATGAAACATCTGGCTGGAGGGATCTGGGCAGGCGCTGAGTCAGGTCTTGGAAGCAGAGATGCTATCATGTACAGGAAATGATCCGCTCACTTGACAGATGAATCTGCAGGGAGGACAAGCTTTCGACGGAACTGAGTTTAGGTCTTAGCCCTCCGCAGTACGTTGGGGCTGTCATCTTGGGCACAGATGATGGCATGACTCACGCCCTGAAGGAATCGGAGCGTCAAAAGGGAGAAGGAACGAGTCCTGATCGTAGGACGCTATTTTCAGATTTCAGGGGGGTGGGGAAGGGGAAGGTTCAGTGGCCTCCTCTGGCAGATACTTCAAATTAAAACGCACATATTACTGGGGCGGCAAACCACAGAAGTGTAAAAACGTCAACGTGAGATCACAGCTGAAATGAGCGTAAAGCAGAACGGCTGCAACAATTCAACATTGCAAAATTCAGCCCAGTGGATAAAACCCAGTGCTTTTTTTTTCTAAAAAAAATGTTTAGGGGTACTCTCATTTTCCTACTCATATTGAAATACTGCCCCTCAATGAGGCCACACTTAGATTCACAAAATGTTTAGGGGTATGTGTACCCCTGCATACCCCAAGGGGAAAAAAGCATTGATAAAGCCTATGCGGGCCAATTCATATCCAGAATGAGCTGTGGTCCAGCGGTCAAGCAAGCTGAAGGTCCCAGATTCAGTCCCTGGCATCTCCAGGTAGAACTTAAAAAGGCTCACTGGAACACCAGATTGCTGCTACCAGTCAGTGTGGACAATACAGCGTTAGATAGTTCAGAGGTCCGGTTCAGTAGAAGTCAGCTTTCCATTCGGGAATGCCTTGGGAAATAGAATTGTCTTTGTCTGCTGCCAATGAAGTAATGCTGTGGAAGCCAGCAAGCCACCTTAGGGAGTGCATTTAGCAAACAGGGTGCCGTGACTGAAAAGGCCCCGTCTCCATTTGCCACTGACCTACGGTAATTTCAGATGGTGGTGGCCCTGGATGAAAACCTCACTACAGGAGGAGAACCTGGATAATGAAAGCAATCTCTGGATGGGCTCTTGTAGAAGAAGGTTGTTGATAACTGTTTGGTTTTGGTGGGACTTGCTATGGAATGAAATGTGCCATGTAAGTGACATGGACTTAATTGTGTCAGTTGTCAGTATTGTAGCAGTTGTCAGTACACCAAGTGAAACTATCCATTATTACTATTATTATTATTATTATTATTATTATTATTTTATTTATATCCTGCCCATCTGGCTGGGTTTCCCCAGCCACTCTGGGTGACTCCCAATAGAATATATTAGAAACACAATAAAACATCAAACATTAAAAACTTCCCTAAACAGGGTTGCCTTCAGATGTCTTTTAAAAAGACAACAGCTGCTTATTTCCTTCACATCTGAAGGGAGGGCGTTCCACAGGGCGGGCGCCACCACCGAGAAGGCCCTCTGTCTGGTTCCCTGTAACCTCACTTCTCACAGTGAGGGAACCACCAGAAGGCCCTCGGAGCTGTACCTCAGTGAAGGGAGGTGGAGACGCTCCTTCAGGTATACTGGGCCAAGGCTGTTTAGGGCTTTAAAGGTCAGCACCAACACTTTGAATTGTGCTCGGAAACATATTGGGAGCCAATGTAGGTCTTTCAGACATATGTGCTGCTGCAGGGGTACGGGGTTGCAATAATGGAATGAGTACCTATTGGATGGTGCCCATGCAGTCGCAGAGAGCAAACCATCCATCAGGGGCAGCTCATCCTGTTTTGCCACCTGAGATGTCTGCAAGAGATTCCTACTTCTTGTCACGTTTGCAGAGATCTTTCTACTTCATATACACCACTTCCCAAACCAGCAGTGGGAGCACACTGGCTGCAGAGTAAACAGAAACGTGCGCACAGCCTCTTTCTGTAGCACCTAGAAGCTCCTCCCAAGAGGACCCCGGCCCACAGGGTGGGGTGTGCGTTGTTGTCTTGGCTATTAATAGCCACTTATCAGATGTGACGTCGTTTCCCTAGGTGTGGTCCGGCTGAGACGTTCAGGAGACGCCAAAGGGGCTGGAGGAGACTGTCAGGAGCTGAGGTTTCGCAGTCCGTCCTGCAGCCGCAGCTGGTGTTGGCGTGGCCAGGACAAGCAGATCTTGCAAGGGGAGGAGAAGCAACTGAGGGAATGGAAAAGCCTCTCGCAGAGGGAAAGTCAGCGACACCCAAAGACAGACAGGGGCCCACCCAGCTGAGCTCAGCACCACAGCTCGGCTCAGCCAGCCGGGCAGGAGGGGAGGAAGCAGGGTAAAATAGGAAGGCACAGTCTGAGCAAACACAAACTTTCTCACTCCTTCGGACACGGAAAGGGCCGAGGAACTGGGCCTAGACTGCTGCAGACTCCAAACTGTGGGTGTCTTGGTGTGTCCTGAAATGCGAGAGAAAGCAGAAACAACACACAACAGAGCTGAAGCATAGCTTGCGCATTTCCTCCTGCATGCACATCTCACGGCGACTGTGCTCACACCATTCATTTAGAGCACGTGGAAAGCATAATTCCACCCCCACCCCAAAATGGGAACTGTACAGTGGTACCTTGGGTTACATACGCTTCAGGTTACAGACTCCGCTAACCTAGAAATAGTACCTCAGGTTAAGAACTTTGCTTCACGATGGGAACAGAAATCGTGCTCCGGTGCTGCAGCTGCAGCGGGAGGCCCCAATAGCTAAAGTGGTGCTTCAGGTTAAGAACAGTTTCAGGTTAAGAACGGACCTCCGGAACAAATTAAGTACTTAACCCGAGGTACCACTGTAGTTTTCTTCTCCCAAGGCTACAATTTCCAGTACCCTTAACGAACTACAGTTCCCAGTACAGTCGTACCTCTACTTACATATCCCTCTGAATACAGAATCTTCAGGTTACGGCCATGGCAAACCCGGAAGTGTATACTTTCGCCCCGCGCGCATGCGCAGAAACACGCCTCTATTTACGTTATTTTTGGGGTGTGAATGGACCTCTGGAAGGAATTAAGCTCATATCTGGAGGGTCCACTGTATTCTTTTGGGGGGGGAGGGAGGAGTCCTTTAAATGTATTGTGTGTACACAGCCCGTGAGAAAGAAATAAACACACATACACTCTCCCCCCTTTTGTACTCTACCTGGAAGTATGACAAGGAAATATATGAGTCATCCTCAAACATCTGTTTGGGGTTTGGGGTGCTTTTTTGTTTCTTTAACCACTTCCAGCTTTGTGCGAAGTGGCTGGAGAGCAGGAAACAGGTTGTTTCGAACTCAGGTCCCTGTATGTGTGTCTGTGTGTGTGTGTGTGTGAGAGAGAGAGAGAGAGAGAGAGAGAGAGAGAAGAAGAAGAAGAAGAAGAAGAAGAAGAAGAAGAAGAAGAAGAAGAAGAAGAAGAAGAAGAAGAAGAAGCAGCTTCTTTTAACACAGAGAAATTGCATGTGGTACAGTCCTTCCTGGACTATGCCACTTTAAAGAGCACAAGAGCAAGACTGCATGCTTGCATTCTTTCCCCGTATTTATTTGTTTTTAATCCAGGTCTTTCTGCACATAGAAAACTGGCCTAATAGTCTCCCTAATTTCCCAGTTCCAGTGTGACCCCTGACACAAAGCTCCATCAGTAGGTCTTGGCCATAGTAGCCAGTCAGTGGGGTGGGGGAGGTCAAGCTGCCATTCTCCATCCCCATGTAGTTCTGTTCCAGAACATTGTGGGAAACACCAAACCAAGAGAAAAGACAGAACAGGTGCAGCAGTGCACCCTGGGGCCCATGGATGGCAGGTCCAAGCTGCTGAGCCTGTAAGGGGCGCTCCTGTGGATGCGCTTGCCTCACTGTGGGATGGTGAGATGCGTAGAGCAATTGGCAGAAGGACTGTACCACATGCTCTTTCTGCATGTAAAAAGCAGAGCCCTGCAAAGAGTGCATTTGCACAGGTCCATTCATTTCTGATAAAGGCAAAGAAATACTGATCTTGCTAATCATCTTCTGTTTAGTAGTAGTAGTAGTAGTAGTAGTAGTAGTAGTAGTAGTAGTAATTTTATTATTTATACCTCACCCATCTGGCTGAGTTCCTACAGCCATTCCAGGTGGCTTCCAGCACATATAAAAATATAATAAAGCTCACATTGAACTCATTCCAGGGAATGGCAGATTCACCCCACTTGGGGAGTTCCCGGTGGGGTGGGCTTCATTTGCAGACATATCATTGACCACAGACTTTGTTTACTTGCCATATTTCCCATGGAAAGGGCAAATCCAGGTTAAATTGGGGCAGGGGAGAAACTAGCTGACATTCTGATGCCGACAGTGTTGGGTGGCTGGTGGAAAATCTCACATTATGCGCCCATCTGGAAGCACCCTTGCATTGCACCCTCATAGAAGCATAGAATTGTACAGTTGGAAGGGACCCCAGAGATCATCCAGTCCAGCCCCCTACAATGCAGGAATATGCAGTAGTCCCATACGGGGATTGAACCTGCAACCTTGCCGTTATCAGCACCACGCTCTAGCCAACTGAGCTATCTAGCGTGCCTTGAAAAATAAGACAGGCAAGCTATTTCCCTGTGGTTTATATACCCACCCATCCCTCTACATTACATAAGAACACAGGAAGACCCCTTATGCTGAGTCAGGCCATTGTTCCCTCTGGCTCAGTATTGTCTGCACTGACCGGAAGCAGCTCTGCAGGCTTTTAGGCAGGGGGCATTTTGTGCCCTATCTGGAGATGCTGGGGATTGAATCTGGGGCCTTCTGCATGCAAAGCAGGTGTCCCCCCACTGATGCATTTTCTGAATCGGCTTTTAGATACCGGTACATCCTGCATCCATCCAGTTTCATTGGGATGGCTCAGTCGGTAGAGCAGGAGCCTCTTCATCTCAAGGTCATGGTTTCGAGCCCCACGTTGGGCAAAAGACTCCCGCATTGCAGGGGGTTGGGCTAGATGACCCTTGGGGTCCCTTCCAACTCTATGATTCTTTGTTTTGGTAGGTGGTTAGTGAGAGTTGAGGAAAGCTGAAGGTGAGACTCGGACTCACCCAGATGAATCCCAATACACATAGGATTGAAAGGCGAACAGAAGCTCCCGTCTAATTTGCATTGGTGTTTGGTGCCATCTCCTGGACCATGATTGAAACATCACCTGAGTAGCTGATTCATAAACATTGCCATGCATGCACTCCTCTCTATGGGGTTGCAGCGCTCATCTCTCTTTCAGGCCGAGGGAGCCGGTGTTTGTCCACAGACAGCTTTCCGGGTCATGTGGCCAGCATGACTAAACTGCTTCTTGCACAACGGAACACTGCGACGATACGATACGATATGATACAATACGATATCTTTATTGTCATTGTCCCAAGACATTCAAAATCCCCTAAAAACTCTGAAAGCCCATTTTAAAATACAATATACAGTGGTACCTCGGGTTACAAATGCTTCAGGTTACATACACTTCAGGTTACAGACTCCGCTAACCCAGAAATATTACCTCGAGTTAAGAACTTTGCTTCAGGATGAGAACAGAAATTGTGCTCCAGCGGCGCGGCGGCAGCAGGAGGCCCCATTAGCTAAAGTGGTTAAGAACAGTTTCAGGTTAAGAACGGACCTCCGGAACAAATTAAGTACAGTACTTAACCCAAGGTACCACTGTACTATAGAGACTCCTTATACTGCATTTAGAACCAGAATTGCATTTGGGTAGAAACTGTTTCTCAGGCGGCTAGTCCTGGTCTTAATAACCCTATACCTTCTTCCAGAAGGCAAAAGCTGAAAGGGATCATTTCTGGGGTGCGTACTATCCTGCGCTATCTCTGCAGCTTTCTTATGGCACCTGACAGCATAGATTTGATCTAAGGTGAGTGCACCCAATTATTCTCTCTTCAGTCTTTACAACCCTGGACAGCATTGTGTTTTCCCTGGCTGTGCAGCTCCCAAACCACACACAGAGACCATAAGTTAATACACTCTCCACAGTACAATGGTAAAATGCCATCAACAGGTCCTTTGAGAGATTGTTTTTCCGGAGGATTCTCAGAAGCCAGAGTGCACGGAAACGCCGTTTACCTTCCCGCCTCAGCAGTACCTATTTATCTACCTGCACTGGCGTGCTTTCGAACTGCTAGGTTGGCAGGAGCTGGGACAGAGCAACAGGAGCTCACCCCATCGTGGGGATTTGAACAGTCGACCTTCCAATTGGCAAGCCCAAGAGCCTCAGTGGTTTAGATCACAGCGCCACCCACGTCCCTTTGACTGGACTTAACTGTCCAGGGGTCCTTAACCTTTACCTTTACTTTTCTCTAAAGCGCAAAGTCCCTGCCTTGAGCATGATTAAGCATTTCATCAGCACAGACATGAACCGCGGTTAAGTCTGGCCTGGGTTTCCACTTAGAACCCTGCTTTCAAATCCCAGCTAAGCGGGAAACCCGGTTAGCTTCAAACACCGGCAATAGCAGTGTCGATACAAAGCTTAACCAAGTGCAATGCAGATAGGAGGGGAGGAGAAAGCAGGTGATGCCACAGCTGGTTCCTGGGTGTTGATTGTGCTCAAGCCATGAGAAGCGTGATTGTGCCATGGGAAGAAGAGCCATGGCTCAGTGGTGGAGCACATGCGCGACATGCCAAAGCTCGCAGGTTCAATTCCCGCCGTCTGCACATCGGGCTGGGAATGTCTTCTGTCCAGAAGCCACTGCAGGTCAGTGTAGACAGTAAAGAGCTTGCTGGAACACCGGTCTGACTCCACATGAGGCAGCTTCCTACATTCCTAATATTTGGAGGGATTTGTTCCAACAAAGACAGCCTACAGATCCCACAGAGACTCACAAATGTGTTTGTGGGCTGGAAAGCCTCTGTCTGATGCTTTGCAAGGGTGTTGTCAGACAGTGGCTTGCACTTACCCCATGTAATTGTCGCCTCTCCTGTTCATCCTCCCTCTCTTGTTTTTCTACCCTCTTTCGCTCTCATCATGGAAATTTAGATTGCAATCCCCTTGGGGCACAGACCTGACTTGTGTTGTTCTGTAAAGTGGCATCAAGTGGACTGATGCCAGACAGTAGTAAAAAAATTAAATTAAAATAAAGAGGGGGACAGACAGCTCAAGGGTCAGATAACGCCAATGAAAATATGGACATCCTAAGGAAAAGTGGGACATTCAGGGATCAAATTAGAAACTGGGATGGCTTCTCTAAATCAGGGACGTCCTTGGAAAATAGGGACATTTGGAGGCTCGGTGAGAACCCAGTTACATTTGGGTCCTCCTGCCCTTTTGAACTGTTTCCTGTCTACACAACTTTTAAGAACTGGCGCCTGAGTTTGCTTGTTTCCACTTCCCTCCCCACACCTTTGTCCTCTTGTGTTTGGCTGAGGTTGTTGTTCATGTTTGTTACGGTTAGTCTGTCTAGCAATCTCTTGCTGCATATCTACAGGGCCGGCCCACCCATGAGGCAAGGTGAGGAGTCTGCCTCAGGGGGCAGGATCCACAGGGGCAGCAGATCTGGCCTCCAGGGAATGTGTCACCCACTGTTGCTGCTGGGGTGACAGCAAGGACTGGGGTGCACTCTTTGGAGGCAGCCCTCCCCGGTATGCTGCCTCCACAGTGGCCTCATGACAAACAGGAGGCTACTGGTCTCCTCTCCCCTCCTTGTTTCCAATGTAGATCTTTAGTTCTCCCTTGTTCCTGCTGTAGATCTCCACGCATCCCTTCTTCCCTCCCTGGGGGATGTCTTGGGCCAGCCCTGTATATCTCTGAAAACTAAGAATAATTATAGGATTACCATATTTCAAGAAGTAAAAATCCGGACACAAAAGTTGTTGAGCTTTCTTTGGGAAATCAACCTCTAAGCTGTTGAGGTGGTTTTTTTAGTTTTGTTGTGTGTGTTGTGTTGTGTTGTATTGTGTTGTGTTGTGTTGTGTTTGTTTGCAAATTCCCCACAATTGTCATTCTTGGTTCTGGTGGCAAAAACCAGAACATTTTGCCAATTTTTCAAAATTTCCCCCAGGGTCACTGATTCCACTGTGTGGAATTCTAGACATATTCTGAATGTATGGCTGGAGGTGGCTGGAGCCCTTTGGGACTGGTAGGATGGAAGGCAAGGAGACCAATAGTAGAGGGCACCAGAGCCAATAACAGGCAGAGCTAATTCATTCTCGTTTTTTGCCCCTCTTCTCTTTCCTGCTGAATTCTACATGGGCAATGATGCGTTTTAGGAAAGGGAAGCAGACAAGCTTCCTGGACTGGTTGTAAGGAAGAAGGCAGACAGCTGTGGGCTAGCTAAGGGCAGTTTGATGGACCAGCTTCCCCTGCTTAATTGCATGGTGTTGTACACAACTTGAGTGTTCTACTAGACAAAGCACAGACCTCTGTTTCAAGGTGTCCTCTATTTGAAGGGCTGTCTGGTCCAAGTCAGCTTTATAAGGAAGAAACCCCAAGAAAAAAGGCCTCAAACCTCTTTGGGGCCCAGACAGTAGACTTAGCAGGCACACAGGCCACATTTACACCATAAAGTACAGTGATTCCACTTTAAGCAGTCATGGCTTCTTCCAATGCATCATGGGAGCTGTGGTTTGATAAAGGTCCTGAGAGAAGTAGCTCTGGGAGGGGAAAAGGGGTCTCCAAACTACTCTCAGCACGCTTAACAAACTACAGCTCCCAGGATTCTTTGCGGGGGGGAGCCATGGCTGTTTAAAGTGGTACCATAGTGCTTAAAATTACTGGTCTTCAGCTGGTGGTTCAGGACACGCTAATGGGTCACAGCCTGGTCCATCAGCAGCACCCTCGTGCAGTTATATGGTAAAAGATTAAGAAAGGGTCCCCAAATGCATGGTTGAGCTAAAGGGGCATCCTGAGTCTGAAAAAGTTGAAGACTGCTGTTTTAAATATATGGCATAAATGTGGCCCTCACAGTTTCCTTCCAATACGGTGAGAGGTATAGTGGTACCTCTGGTTGCGAACGGGATCCATTCCGGAGGCCCGTTCGCAATGTGAAAAGCCCGCAACCTGAAGCGGCGTATCTGCGCAGGTGCGTGGCACAATTTGGCACTACTGTGCATGCGCGAAGCGGGATTTAGTGTTACTGCGCATGCGCAAGTGGCGAAACCCGGAAGTAACCCTTTCCGGTCCTTCCGGGTCGCCGTGGGACACAACCTGAAAAAACGTAACATGAAGCAAACATAGCATGAGGTATGACTGTATTGCTGTCTTCATGGAGTCGCCTGGGATAGCTCAGTCTGTAGAGCGTGAGACAGTTAATCTCAGGGTCGTAAGTTCGAGCCCCATGATTCCTGCATTGCAGGGGGTTGTACTAGATGACCCCCATCCTCCCATCAGTACAATTCTATGGTCCTGTTTTAAAGTCTAGTAAAAGCAATTTTGCATGGGGGTTACGTCATTGCACACAATTGCGAAGGGTGCATAAGCCCGCCCTGCCACCTTTTTCTGCCACTTCCAGGTTCACAGCAATGTGTGTGTGTACAGCCGTGCGTTATTTGAAGGCGTGCAAAATGGGAGTTGCCTGTAAATATTTCCAAAAGTGCGTCGAGACAGATACAAATTAGCACATGCAAATGTTACGCAGATCTGCATTATTATTATTATTATTATTATTATTATTATTATTTATTTTAAGAACATGCAAGTGACCACCCTAGAGCACAGACATGTCTCGTTTGCCTTTGGCACCAGGTTTCTTACACATTTTAGTAGCAGGTCGAAAAGGAAAAGGGCGTATGTCATCTGTCTCTCTGTGTGTGTGTCTGTGCATCTGCATTTCCAAAGATGGACAGCAGAGGGAGAATTTTTTTTTCATGTTAAGGCACCCAAGCAGCCCCTGAGAGTGCCCCCTTCTCAACACACAGACAGAGCCTGCATACACTGTGCATGTACAAACAGTTCTGTTTGCTCACGTCCTCAGTCTTGACCCATGAGCTCTTCCTCCCCTAGCCCGGGGCTCGCTCTCCTTTCATAACAACTCCACAGAGTTTCAGCCCGCAGCTCACCCTTTGTCACCCAAACAAGGGCTGCGTCCCATCAGCCTCCCCCAACTTCCACCCCCAAACTGCCCAGTGCCGTTGTTGCTGCTGCTGCACCATGGAAGCCAGCAAAGGGTTAACATGTTCCAGACAGAACATGGGGGTCGGGCTCTTTGATCTGCTGTGACCCACTGACCTGTGACCTCTGCCTTCATGGCTGGTCGGTGGCGGAGAACTAGAGAGCAGCTGGAGCGTTCGATCCTGGAAGGCGGGGAGGGAAGCGTCCTGTCCTGAGAGACACAAACACACATCTTGCCAGAGTCCTCAGAGAGTAGGCACGGCACGGGGACCAATCCTCACCGCTGTTTTTGCCGAAGCAAACACGGCGCGCTTTGACTTTTCGCCAACACTTCTGAAACATCGCATCGATCTCCCGAACGACCAGGTGTCAGACTTGCAAATCCAAAAAACGGATGCTTGAGATGTTGTTTTAGTCCAGTTGACCAACTCTTGCCTATATCTGGGGCCCATGTGGATAATGTTGTTATATAGTTTAGTCACTAGGTGGCGCTGGACTAAATCCTAGGTATCTGCAGGGCTGGTTCTTTCCTGCTGCTGTTCTGTCCTTGTTGGAGATGGGCAGTGAAGGTCTTGCCTCCTGAGTGCCGTGTCTGTTATTCCTTCCATTACGGGACAAGCACCTGGGGAAGGAGAGAGACAACACAAGGCATCTTGGTCCCTGAGGGGAAGAACAAAATGGCGCCCATTGATCCATGTACAAAAGCCAGCTGGGCTGCCAACTGAATTTTCTTCCAGTACTGGCCTTGGGATAATGCTCTCCACTGCACCTGATGGCAGCAGGCTAGTTATGGGGGTGTAGAGCCCGGGGAACATAACATTCTGCCTCCCAGCAGAAGTTAAATGACCAGGGAGATCAAGTGGAGCAGCCGGAGATAATGATGATGATTTCGCCTTCTACCCACGTCCCAAGGCGATGTACAAACTATAGTAAAAACTGCCAAAAAAATAAACCCCCTTCAAAACAGCATGAAAAGTAACAGGGCATGGATTTGAAAACAATACAAAGTACACATGGAACAAAAATATTCCAGCCATTATTTTAAACCCACCTTGGTCAACTTGGTGCCCTCCAGATGTTTTGGCAGCAGCTCCCATCAGCCCTAGCCATCTTCCCAATAGTCCAAAACATCTGGTGGGCACCAGGTTGGCAAAAGCTGATTCGAACGCTCAGCATTGCATAGTTGATGGCAACCATCGCATACCCAAACCTCTGCACGGCAGCTGTCCAGCTGATCTCCAAAATTCACTAGTGTGGGAGTTCTTTTATGGCTCTTTACTAAAGAAATAAAATTACTGGTACACATGCTAGCGTGTATCAGAACCCTTGTTACACATAGGAACTGAACAACCTGTGGAAGTCCATCCTTTCGCCTAAGCCGACACCAAGCACTACAGGTTAGCGAAGGCACAAGTGTTTTCTGCATCCAATAAGCGCCTCTGGGTTGCGTATCCGGTGCTCCGGTCTGGCAAGGCCTTCAGCTATTCCCTGCTGGGCTCAGTCCCGTTTTCTTCCCTTTGGGGGAAGCTGGCGTCAATTTTGCAGGAGGGCGTCAACCGCAACCACAGACTGCAGCACGACGTGTCCTTGGACGACCTAGTGTGCTGGAGCAAACTCGGCAGCATTCTGTGTTCCGGGGTGGGAGTGAGGTGAGCGGGGTTATGGGAGGGAGAGAACTTTCCCCGCCTCTCCTACGTCAGCCGAAGACATCGCTGGATGGCATTGGACTGACTTGAGCAATGTCCCAGCAGTGGGGAGAGGCAGGAGCTGTACTAGGTAGAGGCAACCGGAGGAGGCCTGGAGTCTTTGATTTTGCCTGTTGCCTCACCAGGTGATGCACAAGGAGCTGTGCGATTTCCAAGAACAGCCTTTGCCAAACTGGTGCCCTTCAGATGTCCTGGACTATAACTCCCTTCAGCTGATTTGGAACCCAAAACATCGGAGGTTGGTAAAGGCTGTCCCAGAAGACAGAAAACCTCCATGATTGATGAATAAATATGATCTTGTATGCATGATACTGGAGGTAGCTGTATGAGGTAGAATCTGAGTACCCAAGCAATGGGCACCTCTGCACTGAAGTTTATTGTGGACTTGGTGCTGCTCAGATATGCAGGCTTTGCACAGCGCCTACATGACTCTTCTCTGTGTGCCATTCCCCTCTTCCAACCCCCTGGCAGGCCCTTTGACCGCATGGAAACTTGAGTGAACTCAAGGAATAAAGGGCATTCGGAAGGTGCAAGGTGTGAGCGTAGGGCTCTTGCATTCTTTTCATCTTCCAGACATCTGCTGGGGCCTCTTACTCTTTCCACCTCAGCTCGAGACATCAGCCCATGTAAGGTGCCTTCATTGGCAGGGTCCTGTCACTGCCTCAAGACTTTTCACTCAGACCTTTGGGGTGCGGGGATGGAATATCGAGCCAAGTTGTTCGACGAGACCGGCCAAAAGTGGGAACGCTCCACTTACTGCTGAAATACATTTGCGGTGATCGTCGTTTTTAACCGCTTGGCTGAATGAATCGGTTTGATTCATAGCTCCCAGTTTGTTTTTGTTTGTTTGTTTGCTTTGTTTTGTTTTAACATGTGAATATTGCAAACCGCCTTGTGATTCTGCCAGATAAAAGGCAGTCTAGAAGTACAGTGGTACCTCAGGTTACATACACTTCAGGTTACAGACTCCGTTAACCCAGAAATAGTGCTTCAGGTAAAGAACTTTGCTTCAGGATGAGAACAGAAATCGTGCTCTGGCGGCACGGCAGCAGCAGGAGGCCCCATTAGCTAAAGTTGTGCTTCAGGTTAAGAACAGTTTCAGGTTAAGAACAGACCTCCAGAACGAATTAAGTACTTAACCTGAGGTACCACTGTAGAAGGAATCATAAATGCAAGAAAAGAAAGAACACATTCATAACTGACAGATGGGTATTGACATATGACTGTCCCCTGAGATCCATCTCTGGGCAGGTGTTACTCCTTTCGCCATAGCAGTCGCCCAGTTTGGGGTCACTCAAACCCACCTCAAGCATTATCTGCCTTCGTTCTGTCAAGTCACTGGGAAGATGGCTCTTCCACTGAACAATTCTTAATTTATTTTTATTTTTACATTCTTATTCTCACAGATGCAGCCTGTGTGTGAAGTGTGTGTGAAGCCTTATTCAATTCCAGACAGTGCGAGGAGGCAATCTCCTAATCTCTCCATCCAAACCCTCCCCATGCCTAACACTTCTCTGTCCCTAGGGGAGATAACAGTATCTTCAGTGCCTGGAGCAGTCTTTTAACACCAGCCGGTAACAGCTCCATCACAGACAGGAATCAGCAGCTTTTCTCAGCATGGAGAGGCAGCGGTGGCAAAAGCTCCACCTGTTTATTTCTGTCTGTTTGGGGGGGGGCAGGAAGCCAAGTTCATATCTGTGGCAAGCATGGCCCCTTGACGTCACCTTGAATTGGCAGAGAGGGTTGTGCCATTTCAGGGAGCAGTTGGGGCTAGGTACCACTTTTGAACACTGTGTAAAGAAACTCCTTACCAGAAGAAAACTAACATGTTAGGGAGAGAGGCCTTGCCATTATCTTTCGCCTGAACAGGGAAAAGCAGTTGGGATGGGGGCTAATTTGGAACAGACCAATGACAGATTTAGGGGCAGTGTGGGTGGTTCCCTCACACAGAGCACCAAGCCTAGGGGGCACAAAGTTGAAAACATCCATAAATGAGAAGATGCATTTGGAGGCGCCAAAATTTGGCCTTGCACTGGGCGCCTCATTACAAAAGATTACCAAAGTCCTCCCAGATCAGACAAAGAGAACAGAGAGATAGGGTGAAGCAGTTAACCCCTTACCCAGCGCAATTCTTCCACTCCTTATTGAAGCCTCCACATCTCCTTTTTAAAAAACGTAGCTCACAACTGCATAGAATAAATATGTGCATAGCTCCTTGGCACAAGAGTGGATTCTGATTGCCCAGAGATCCGCTTGTTGCGTAGAGCTGCTCTACACACAAAGGATCCCTAAACAAGGCTGCCGAACACACACAGTGGTTAGGGAGTGAAACCAGCACTGTGGGAGCTGGGGCAACGTGGTCTGACCCCACAACCACCCAGTTGTCTTTACCCTGCATGCTGCCATCTTCTGATGCTTTCTTGGCGAAACATATACCTGAAGGAGCATCTCCACCCCCATCGTTCAGCCTGGACACTGAGGTCCAGCTCTGAGAGCCTTCTGGCGGTTCCCTCCCTGCGAGGTTCCAGGGAACCAGGCAGAGGGCCTGCCCTGTGGAACGCCCTCCCATCAGATGTCAAGGAAATAAACAACTATCTGACTTTTAGAAGACATCTGAAGGCAGCCCTGTTTAGGGATGTTTTTAAGGACTGATGTTTTATTGTGCTGTTAATTCTGTTGAGAGCCGCCCAGAGTGGTTGGGGAAACCCAGTCAGATGGGCGGGGTATAAATATATTATTATTATTATTATTATTATTATTATTATTATTATTATTATTATTTATTAAGGATGCCTCACAAGACGCCTTATGCCACTTCAGGCCATTCGTCCCTTCAGCTCAATACTGTCTACACTGACTGGCAGTAGCTCTCCAGGGTTTGAGGCAGGGTCCCTGGGGCCCTTTTTAACCAATGCACCAATCGCATTGAGTAGCATGGAGAAGGAAGCCGCCATTTTAATTTCCCACAATGCCCCTGGTGTAGCAGGACTCCAGGGCATTGCGGGAAATAAAAATGGTGGCTTAATCACGTGCTGTTGCCTACTGCTGCTCCCAGGTAAGCTTGGGGTGACAAAGGCTGGGACTGCGCCTGCTAGACAGGTGCAATTTTGCCAGAACCAAGAAGCACCTTCCAGAATCTCTTCTTAGATGCTGCCTCTGATCACCCACAGTGGTAAATTTCCAGACCCTGGGCGGTTAATTTTTCCTTCTCCGGAAGGCAAAATATTGGGTTTTCACCAAACAGGGAAGGTGCAGAGAAAAGCAGGCAAAGGATGAATCGCTGGACTGCTTCCTTCCGAAAATGCTCAATAGAGAAGTTTAGCAAGGAGGATGGAGGGGCAGATGATGGATGGATGGTGTAATGTTTCTCGTTTAGCTGGTGAGGATGCCTGCATTCCAGAGCAGCTCTTTGAAGGCCAAAGCCAGCCAATTGGATCGGCGCTTCCCAAGTGTGGGCGGGGAAAGGGGCTGTCTGGCTCTGTGTCCTTGGCTCACCCCTCCCCTGAGCTAAGCAGCGGGAGGGGCTGAGGGCCAGGAGATTCCTAAGAAGCTTCCAGATGCAACTAAGCGGAGATGCAGATGGGGAGGAGGAGGAGGAGGAGGAGGGAGAGAGGGAGCAGAGATGCTCTGGAAGGGGAGGCAGTGCAGAGAGCAAGTCTGCATTCCGCCACCCCAGCCTCTTAGCAGCCTGCAAGGAGACATCTCTCCCCTGGGTGAAAGCTGAACTCTCCAGAATGGCATCAGAGGACACACTTCTGCAAGGCCCTTGCACACCAGGCTAGCTCTGAATGGTGCCTGTGTGCCAGGATGAATTAATCAACATGCAGCTTATGTTGCAAAGCAGAGACCCATCTGTACTGGGAACTCTGCAGCAGCAGGAGATGGGTTGGGCTTGCAGTCAGTCACATGCCTGGTAGGTCGGCTCTTTGCAGGGTCAGTGCTGTTTCGAAGGTTGTCTCCTGAGAGGCGCATAGCACCAGGGTGCGCCAACAGGGTGCGATGAGAGTGGCGCCACTGCAAGCTTGAGGCCTTCTGAGAGTCCCATGGGTATGAGCTGAATAGATGGGGGCCATCTTGGTGTTTTGTTTTTCTGACAAGGAGCCTGTGACCTGAGCAACAATGTGACAGGCAGAAAATCAACAGGTGAAGCCCTTTCCCATCATTATGTACCCTACATAGGCACCTTGACACCACACATTTAAAGCATTATGATCTCTCCTTCAACAGCCATGGCCTCCCCACAAATAATTCTGAGAGCTGTAGTTTGTTAAGGTTGTGAGACTTGCTCGGAGACCTTGATTCCCTTCAGAGAGCCACAATTCCCAGAGTTCCTTGTGGAGAGGGTTTGATTGTCAAACTGCTCTTGAAACTGTAGCTCTGTGAGGGGAATAGGGGTCTCCAAACAATTCTCAGCACCCTTAACAAAGTACAGTTTCCAAGATTATTTGAGGGAAGCCATGACTGTTTAATGTGATATTATACTGCTTTAAATGTATGGTTTAAATGTGGCCTTAGAGTATGTTATGACTAAGTGGTCTATAAATCTTCCTAAATAACTTTTTAAAAAACAACACCAAATATTGACATTTTCATACAGGAAAAGGCTTCACCTGGTGCATTCCCCGCCACCAAGCACCATTTTAAACAAAGAGTTCCTTGATATAGGACAGGGGTGGGTCAGCCGTGGGCCAGTCCACTGTCCCTCAGACCATGTGGTGGGCCGGACTATATTTTTTTTAAAAATGAACGAATTCCTAGGCCTCACAAATAACCCAGAGATGCATTTTAAATAAAAGGACACATTCTACTCATGTAAAAACACGCTGATTCCTGGACTGTCCGCGGGCTGGATTTAGAAGGCGATTGGGCTGTATCCAGCCCCAGGGCCTTAGGTTGCCTACCCCTGATATAGGAACAGAGAAATAAGTTTCATTTAAAGTTTCATACAGGGCATCTAATGCCTAAGTTTTGATATAACAAGTCTGTCCATCGCCTCTCACAAAATCCATCCAGATTCAGATTATTACCCTCCAGTGTCAGGAAGCCAAGTCGACCAGAGCCTACACAGAGTGCCAGGGCAGGGCAGCTCCTGTGGGTGTGATGGGGTAAGGGACCACACTTCACCAACGGGGATGGAAGCGGGGGGGCGACCACCCAAAAGAGACGAAATAAAACTAGAAGAATGGCAGGTGTAAAGGCCTGGTGACACTTGCATTTATTTAATGAGACTATAAACTGAGCTCTAGCACAGACTGATCTTTGACCAGCTGAAAACCAAGTTATCCAATCAAGGTGTAAAATGCCACAGCTTCTCCCTGCCCGCCCCCCGCAAATTCTACCACAGATGAAAGGCCAAATTACACATAATGTCAAATGTGTATTGTTCTTGTCTTGTATTTCTATACTGCCCTTCGTCTGAAGACCACAGGGCAGCTGACAATATAAAAACACAAAAATGCATAACATAATAAAAAGCAAAAACAACACTCCCCTCCCCTCCCCCATTTTATGTTTGCAGTGGTTTTACTTTAATACAACTCTAGAATCAGCTGAGAGGACTGATGGTTATCATAGCATAGGCATCTGCAGAATTTTTGCAGGGTGGGGCGGGGCAAGTAAAACACTGAAATGGGGAACAGGTTAGTTTTTCATACACACAAATGAGAAAAGTGGGAGGCAGGAGGGCTCTGAGTGTGTCCTGGAGCCCTCATGCTGCCTTCCCAATGCCACGTGAGCAGCCCTCCACCTTGCTGGGGTTGGGGAGGGTGTGTCAGCTCTGACGGTTCCTGGCTTTATGTGTTTTTACCTTTACGCATGGACCTGGAACTGAACCCTTAATGTAAGATGCAAGCTACCTGTAACCCCTAGACACCTTAGCTTCAATCCTGATTTATTATTATTATTATGCATTGTATTAATAAGAAACATTTTGAAAGCAAAGCACCATAAAATACTGAGCTGGAAACAGTACTGGGCCTCCCTTAAAGGTAAAGGGACCCCTGACCATTAGGTCCAGTCGTGGCCGACTCTGGGGTTGCGGCACTCATCTCGCTTTATTGGCCGAGGGAGCCGGCGTACAGTCATGTGGCCAGCATGACTAAGTGGCTTCTGGCCAACCAGAGCAGCGCATGGAAACGCCGTTTACCTTCCCGCCAGAGTGGTACCTATTTATCTACTTGCACTTTGACGTGCTTTCGAACTGTTAGGTTGGCAGGAGCAGGGACCGAGCAATGGGAGCTCACCCCATCGCGGGAATTCAAATCGCCGACCTTCTGATCGGCTCTGTGGTTTAACCCACAGTGCCACCCACGTCCCGGGCTTCTCTTACAGTGGTTTAAAAGATGGCCAAGGCAATGAATTGTGTACATCGAGTTGTATCCAGCTCAGTTCTAGTTAGAGTTAGCCCACCGAAACTGATAGACCTAAAGTAGCTGTGTCCATTCATTTCAATGTCTCTAGCACTGGATGCAACCCTTCAATATGTATTATTGATGATGACGGTGGTGGTGATCCCTAACAAATATATAGTCATAGCCAGGTATTAAGAGACCCATAGGGAGCGGGTGGCGCTGTGGTCTAAACCACCAAGCCTCTTGGGCTTGCCAATCGATCGGAAGGTCAGTGGTTCGAATCCGCGTGACGGGGTGAGTTGCCATTGTTCTGTCCCAGCTCCTGCCAACCTAGCAGTTCAAAAGCACACCAGTGTGAATAGATAAATAGGTACCACTGCAGCAGGAAGGTAAACTGTGTTTCCGTGCACTCTGGTTTCCATCATGGTGTTTCGTTGCACTAGAAGCGGTTTAGTCATGCTGGCCACATGACCTGGAAAGCTGTCTGTGGACAAATGCCAGCTCCCTTGGCCTGAAAGCGAGATGAGCGCCGCAAACGCCATAGTCACCTTTGACTGGACTTAACTGACAAGGGGTCATTTACCTTTACCAATTTACCGAAAGGATCCTTGCTCTCTCCACAGCTGCTGGCCGAACTATCTTGTTTTTTAATATATTTGTCATCTTTTCTTGACACTCCAGAGTCTGACACTTGAGGCAACTACCTCAGACTTCCTCAGGGTTGCCCAGGCCCTCGATGGTCACACCACAAATTTTCGCCAGGCCTCCCCCTATGTGCCAGAGAAACAGATGAAAGTTTCAGCTTTCTTTTCCTTCCCTCTTCCTTCTTTTTAAAGTTATTTATATTCCACTCCTTTAGAAGAAGAAGAAGCTTCAGGCAACTAACAATAATTAAAACATTAAATCACACTGTTGGTGATATTCACGGTTATTTCCGGCTTTGAGGCAAGTGGAACAGAAAGGTGGCGAGGGAGGGTCGGGGAGGCCACTTGTAAGATTGTTTGGCAGTGCAATCCTTTACTTGTCTACTCAGAGGTAAGCCCCACTGGCCTCAATGAGACTTAGCCCAGCCTCAGAAAACACAATAGGGTATCTTGATCTCCAGCACCAGCCATTAACTCCAGGACTGGCAATTCTGGGGGTAATTTACTGTGGAGTCGGTGCTGCTCATGTGAGATCTGTTGCAATTTCTTCCACACACAACGTAATTGCTGTAAAACCTGGTATGTTACGGCAAGTGGGGCACTGCCCGGCCAAGCTCAGTCTGCCCTCTTGCTTACATCCAGCCCAGTGGGTGGCACCCCCTGCCATCTTCCACTTCTTTAGTTTCAACGTTGGCCTCCTAGAACTCAGCAGGAATAAGGATGGAGGGCAACATCATAAACAGTTGGCTCTGCCAGACATTTGCTCTGGCTCTCCACTTACTTTTGGCCTTCCTACTTTCCTGCTTTCCCAGTCCCAACGGGCACCAGATGCCACTGCATAATTGGCATCAAAATGGCAGCCTGATTCTCTCTCTCTCCCCCCATTTAATATAGATTTGCTCATTCTGGGAAGAAGTTGGTTTCTTTAAAACAAACAAAAACCTGACCCAGTTGCAATGTCTGAATCAGCCCCTTTTCAATATTAAGTCCCTGTTTGGAAGTGTCCACAATTTCTGGTACAGTTGAGGGAGACCCGTACAGAAACAGGGCCTAGGGTCCCAAGGAGCTGACTTTTTTTTTTAATTGATACTTTATTGAAAAAAATTCAAATATAAAAGAATAAAGTGATACAAAAAGAAAAAGAAACGAAACACACAACTGTGTAAAGTGGGGGACGACAAACATTATATGAATATATACAAAAATACCCTAACCCATACATTCTTTCATAAATTTTATATTATTATCCTAAGACTAATGTAAATATTAATAGCCTGCTACATTTTGTATAAATTCGTTCTAAATATTGTCGTATTTATCCAAGCAGAGTCTACTACTGTAAGCAAGTCTGTTCGTAGGTTGCAAGTGTTATCAATCCACTGATTAAAGGAGATAATGTCTTTATTCTTCCAGTTCGTCAATATAAGCCTCTTGGCTACCATTAGAGCGCGTAAAATCCATTTTTGTTGTCCAGTTGTTAACTTTCATATAGCCAGTATACAGTACCATACCGATTTAAACAGCCATGGCTTCCCCCCACCAAGAATCCTGGGAACTGTGGTTTGTTAAGCGTGCTGAGACTCGTCATGAGAACCATGTCCCATGCACAGAGCTACAATTCCCAGGAGGTTTAACAATCAATCTCTCTGGACAAAGAATTGTAATACTGCAAGGGAAACAGGACTCAACTCTCAGCCCCTGTAACAAACTACAGCCCCCAAGATTCTTTGGGGGGGAAGCGAGCACGGTTTAAAAGCAGTGTGCCATTGCTACAAAAGCAGAGTGCAGGCAGAGGCCCAGGCTGTACACCCCAGACATTTAAAGCATCCCATCTTAATTAATAATAATAATAATATTTCAAAATATAATAATAATAGGAGCTGTAGTTTACCAATCACAGCACCCTTCACAAATTTCAATTCCCACGATTCTTGCTTGGAGGGATTTTCCTCGACGCCGTCTGTTTCTGCAGCCATAGGAGCCAATTCCTAGGGGCCAAGGGGTCTACGCCCCCGCTAAAATATTTAAGCCCCTCAAAAGTTGATCAGCATTGCCATTCAAATAGTGTGCGTGCATCGCATCCTGTGATCGATTATACGAGGCAGGGCTTACCTTCCCTCCCCCCACCCCAATATTTGATTCAAGTTGGCACCCCCTCATTAGCCCAGGTCGCTGAGCCAATGGTGCAAAAAAAATAAATGCCAACTAGAAACCTCTAAGCGGCATGTGCAATAAGGGGGACGAGACCCTAAGTCCTTCGCCATTCTCCTGGCGCCCAGCACCCTGCCGGTGCCGGATGAGACCCATACCTCTCCCGCGCGGAGCCCTCCAAGCTCCTCCCCGCCTCGCCTGTCGCTCCCAGCTGCAGCGGCGGCGGCCGTGCGAAGGAGGAGCGGGGAGATGGAATTTTTTTCCCTGGCTGCCGGCCAAGGGCTCAGCCTGACTGCCCGGCCACAGTGCGCGGCTGGGGGAGGGCAAGGAGGGAGGGAGGCCGCCAAGGCAGCCAGCGACGGAGGCGCTGCTCTCTGCAGCCAGCCAGCCGAGCCCGGCGCAAGGGAGGCGCAGCAGAGCGCGCAATCGGGATCCCAGAAGGTTATGGATTCGCCGGGTCCTGCGCCTCATATGCATGGCCAGAGTAACGCGGCCAGGAGAGGAACTGCTCCAGAAGTATACCTCCCCCCCCCAAAAAAAAACCCACCCCTGCTCGCCATTTGGACATGCACGTTGCGCGCTATGCAGCCCCGTGGGTGCAAAACCAGTAGGAAGATCACGCAGTGGGATCCAAGCTGCTTTACACCGGATCGCCTACGCCTTGCCAGCAGCCACTTCCTCCAGCCTTCAGATCTCCGACAGGGCCAGACCAAGCCGCCAGCCTCTTGGACGGTATCCACTGCTGCATATATGTAGAGCACATTCACACACAGGTGGAATGAGAATCATGGGAACTGTAGTTTGATCTGGATGCTGGAGGGTGGTAGCTCTGTGCGGGGTAAACTACAGTTCCCAGGACATTGGTGGCAGCGGTAGAGACGTGCATGGTGCTTGGGAAGGGGCTTCGACCCCAAATGTGCCTCTTCTAATGTTATGCTATACTGCGTTTGCTGGCCATTCTGCATTTCTTTCTCCTGTTGCTTTTCTATTTCCTCCTCCTGAAACTTTTTGCTTTTTCTGTCTTTAAAATAAACGCCCCCCAAAAAGAAAAAAAAAACACTGGGTCCTTGGATATCACTGCTGCATCTGCCACCCCATCTTGCAAATGCACTCAAGCTGTGTGAGAGAGAGGTGTGGAACTCGTTATTCAAATAGGACTCTCTTGCTCCCCTTCCCAGAGTACCGTTTTTTATACAAAGAGCTAAATCCGAAAGAAAACACTGCTTTTGCAATCCAAGTACAATTGGCGACGTTGGGCCACTCACTGTCTGTTAAGCCTAACCTACCTCACAGGGTTGTTGTGAGGATAAATGGGGAAGGGGGAAACTATGCATGCCACCTTCAGCTCCTAGAGCAAAGGTAAATTTAATAACAGAGAGAGAGGCAGAGAGAGGAAGGAAGGAAGAGCAAAAGATTACAGGTCTTGAAGTTACCTATCAGCAGTTAACACCTGGACAGCAGGCTAAGCAGTCAGGCAGGTCACCTGGTCCCAGTCTTCCCCACCATGTTAAGATATATTTATTTTTAAATTGTAGTAATTATTTCTAACTTTGCATCTCTTGGGGCACATGCAAATGTTATGCAGATTTGTGTTTTAATCCTTTTTTTTTTTGCATGCATGCATTTCTTCGCTTTAGGGTTTGTTTGTTTTTGGCAATGTGTTTATTGGCTACTTTAGTTTTTAGTCTGGACATGCACAAGCAAAAAAACAAAACAAACAGCATACTTCTATGTCCAACCATGGAAGAGAGATGTGGCTCTTTAATTTTATTCTTTTTCCAAATAATGAGATTGCCTTCGAATCGCAAAGCATTAGCATTTCTGGCTCTGCTGCTTCCGGGTTTCATTGGGAACTAATAGAACACACAATTCAGTCAGTCGTAAAGGGTATTGTGACACTTTCCCCTGGGATCAGAAACAGCTTTCCAGCTTGGCACCAGGCAGATGGCCTAAGGCAGCTTTGCAGGTAGCCATGCATGGGACTCAGGCCAGAGCTAGCTAGGCAGACAAGCGGAGAAGGCTGCCTGTGGATTATACCCTTTTAAAATCAGGGGCACTGAGGGCTGCTAAAGCTGCTGCTGGGGTACCAGCAAGAAATTCAGGAAGTGTTCCTGGAAAAGAGAGGTAGTTCTGCCCAGCCGTAAGATGCTGCTAGAATATGGACAGCTTGAGGCCTGATGTGCAAGACTTCTTTGGTCCCTTAGTTGCCTTGATCGGCCTAAAACATGGATTTGGGGTGGAGAGAGAATGCTGGTTAAAGACCCTGGTAACATCTGAGTTGTGGGCATTGGATGTGCCCCAAGAGCACGAAAAAGAATCAGTACATATGTCAGAAGACCACGAACCTTAAGCACACCAGAAACCATCTTGGGTGCGGTAACAGCAGTCAGGCTGGTGGGTATGCAGGGCAGGGCCTTCTTGATGGTGGCACCATTCATTTTTTCTTCCAAGTGAGATCAGGCAAGCCCCATCCCTGCAAATTTTGAAGGCGTCTCTGACAAAACATTTGTGTTCTTCTGCTCTTAGGAGGATGTTCAACTGAATGAAATCCATTTAGCAGGAAGGCTGTTGTCTCTGTGTGCTGGTTAATTTTAAGGTTTGAGGGTGTTTTAAAGTTGTATTTTGTATGATTGCTACATGGCATGTTTGCCGCCTTGAGAGGAGATTCTTCTTTAAAGTGCGATAAAAATCTACTAAAATAAGTAAGCAAACAGCACCGTACTTTCCTGAGTCCTTTTGGATGCAATGTTAACCTTGCTGATTCGTCTTACGTTTATTTTGAGATCTTGCTACCATTTGCCCATCTGTAATGCTGTTTATATTTATATTTAAAATGTTTTATTGCAGCTTTTATGTAAACCACTCAGGGAATATGATCAAAGAGGACCATTAAAAAGAAGACCTGTGAACAAATTAAATGTCTTCTGGATTCTGCTTCCAGGTTATTTCACAAGTGGAACCCAAATATGCTATCTCCCTACCCAATCTCCACCCTGTGGCACTATCAGAGGCTTCTAACAAAAGCCCATTTCATTCAAGTCAGAGTTGGCCCCGATATGGGGAGGAGTCGGACTGCAGTCAGTAAGTCACACAGTTCAAGCTGGAGTTCACTCTTTATTAGAAAAAAAACAACCTTCACAGACTTGGGTTTCAGGCCTGATGAGCACAGCAACACTTGCCCTGTAGGTGATACGCAATGAAATCAGTTGCCGAGACGAAAAGCTCCCATCTCCCTACAGCTGCCTAAGTCCCCTCCTCTCCATGATTTTCCCCAAGCAATCAGAGACTACCTGCATGCAGCCTGTCACTGCTCCACCCATTTCAGCCCTCTCCTGGTTCTGGGAGTCAAGGGAGGAGGAAGACACCCATGACTTCACCAGCCTGACTCATCTCTGCTTCTGGACCTCCCTCCTCCCACTTGCCTGCTTCAGCTTCTGTCTCTGATTCTGGTTTGCCGCAGACTCTCCAAACCACTGAGCCCTGTTACCCCTTCGATTTCCAACACTTTCTCTTCCCAGTCTTCTCCCTCTTCTCCCTGTAACCACTCTTTACTGTCCCACCACCGCTCCCTGGGCTCTGAGCCACCTTCTTCCCTTGGTGGTTCTCCAGCTGGTTCCTCCCAACACTCTTCTGTGTTCAACCAGTCCATGACATTGCCTTAACTTTGCACCCCAAGTGTTTTTGCCTGGCTGGAATGTGTCCTTAAACTCTGATAATGCTTTTTGCTTGTCTGGATGGAGAATAGAGAGGGGTGTGTGTCTGTGTAGAAACTACCCTGCTGTGTACAGAGCTAAAACTTAACATTCATTACTCCACCTACCCCCAGTATGTGGCCCTCATAAGGGAATGTGGCTTTCAGGCTATAAAAGGTTCCCCATCCCTGGGTTAGGTAGTGGCAAAAGCTTCACCAAATAAATTTCCTGGGTGTTGTTATTGGCACAAGAAGCACCTTTAAAACAAAAAAGTGGCAATCTTATTGGGAAGAAGATGTTTTCCCTTCACAGATACAGCTTATCCATTATCTGAAGAACATTTTTATATGCTGTACAGTTAATTTGTTTTCCTAATTTGTACTTTGTGTGCAGAATTTGACCTTCCATCATGCAGAATAGGTTTCCATGTCGTCCCCTTCTTGCTACCAGACTCTTCTTTCTTCCTCGGCATCAAAGACTTTAGAAGCTGCCATAAACCCCATTAAACCTTGCCAGGGAAGCCAATTACCACCTGTAAACGCATTATACTTGATCAGCGAGGGACTAATCTGCCCGAAGTGGAGCTCAAATTGGGGGCTGAGAGACAGCAGCAGAACTCGGGCTAGTTTAGAAAGAAATGGATGAGCAAAAAAAACGGATCGCGAGAAAACTTAAAAGTGACCCCTGTGTGTTGCAGGATTGAGAACAGAGCCAGGTTCATAGCAAAAGGGCAGCCCTGAAGTGGATTGTTCCTTCCAGTTCTATCTCCTGTTAATTATGCCTGCCCCAGTTTGAGCCGATGATAATCCCTTTTATTCTGCATTATTTTCCATTTGTCCTTCCAGTGGGATGGCTATAAATAAACCACAGCAAACAACAACAGCATGTTAGAGAGCGAGAACTCGACAAGACAAGCAAAAGCCAAGGAGAGTCAGTACTGTAGTTAGAACTTGGAGCTGGGACCAGAGAAATGGGGGCTCAGGCCCCAGATCAGTGGAACATTTGAATCTGCCTTGTACTGAGTCATACCACTGGCCCATCCAGTATTGTCTACACACCAACTAGCTGCTGATCTCTAGGGTTTCAGAAGGGAGTTCCTCCCAGCCTTATCTGCTATCCACTGAGCCACAGTCCTTCCTCATAAAGGATATGAGGGCTTAGTGAGGCTGCCCCACTCCCAAGTTTTCTCCATACAGTTGTACCTCGGGTTAAGTACTTAATTCGTTCCGGAGGGCCGTACTTAACCTGAAAATGTTCTTAACCTGAAGCACCACTTTAGCTAATGGGGCCTCCTGATGCTGCCGCGCTGCCGGAGCACGATTTCTGTTCTCATCCTGAAGCAAAGTTCTTAACCTGAAGCACTATTTCTGGGTTAGCGGAGTCTGTAACCTGAAGCGTATGTAACCCGAGGTACAAGTGCACATGCAAGCACCCTCACGGGCCATAGGGCTGCACTGAGGACAGTTATCAGGGATTTCAGTTGCGCTATCATCCAGCAGGGCTTCATTTAGCATTTTGAAACGAGCCTCAGTTTCCCAGTGGTAACTCAAACTCAGGTCATGGATGCCTCAGCGCAGTCAATCTGCAAATTTAGTTTCTGGAAAAAATGGAAGGAAATCAATCTCAATCAGAGCAATCTTCTTCTGGGTGTGGCTTACACATGAAAGCGTTTTTAGGTATTGTACTGTGAAAAGTTGCGTGCAACTTTTCTGAAGATGGTTAGTTTGCAGGATGGGCATGGCCTGCCCCTCAGATACCAGCTTTCCAAAAGACAATGTACAACTATAATTCAGTGATTTAACTGAGAGATCTGCTTCTTCTTTCCTTGCTATTTGATGCTACTGCCTCAGAGGCCATATTACAGTTGACAACTGTCCAAAATAACATGCCAGGTAAGAAGTGGCATGTTGTTGAGGAAGCAATTCTCCCTTGAATACCCAATGCCCAGGATTTTGACGGTTTTTCAGATGGGGTAGGCACATATTTTCTCCTTTACGACACAAGCTCATCATGGCAGGATGGCTTTCTGCCTGCCACATTCTTTAAGGCTGACATCTGTCTGGCTTTTCTTGCCCATATCTTCTGGGGCTGGGGCTGGTGATCTACGGCCAGCGTCAGACCAACCCTTGACCCAGATTATCCAAATCCAGAAATAGTTTGAGAAGAGCACCTTCTCTACTGTGCCCCTTCTTTCACTTTTTTTTTTTTTAAGGGTGGAGAGAGCAGGTGGCTTTTAATATTCCGTGGTTAAGAACATTAGGAAAATCTAGTCCAATATTTTGTGTCAGCAATAGCCAATCAGATGCTTCTGAGAAGGATCTCCCTTGCTGCTAGTTTTTAGCAGCTCATCTACAGAGGTATTCCACCTTTGAATTTGGAGATTCCATTTAGAAGATAGGATGCTGCCTTGTCACAAGACTATTTACCTTTCAGTATTGTCTACTCTGGCCAGCAGCCTCAGCCAGAGGTCTTGCCCATTACTTGCAACCTAATCCTTTTGACTGTTGATGCTAGAAATTGAACCTAGTAGGACTAGTAGCAAGGAAAAATGGGGTGGGCCTTGGCAAGGGCCCACCAAAATCAACAGGTGCATTCGGGTGGCACCACAAAAGGCCTTCCAGTGAGTGGTCTTCTCTTGATTTCCACCATGCAAAATATACTTCAGGGATTCGTTTTCTGAACAGGGCACAACCCAATCCTTGTTCTAGGCATGTCATACTTGCACAGAAGGCAAACAGCCCCTCAACCATACCCTCCAACATTTCTCCAATGAAAACAGGGACGTCTCATTCCATAATGACATCTGAAGGCAGCCCTGGGAAGCTTTTAATGTTTAATAGACTTTTGTATTTTAATATTTTGTTGGAAGCCGCCCAGAGTGGCTGGGGACACCCAGCCAGATGGGTGGGGTATAAATAATAAATTATTATTATTATTATTATTATTATTATTATTATTATTATACTATTTATACCCCACACATCTTACTGGGTTGCCCCCTGGGCGACTTCCAACGTATATAAAAACATAACAAACATTATGTTTTTTCTAAAAACCTTCCCTATACAGGATTGCTCCATACCCTCCCACATTTTTCCAATGAAAATAGGGACATCCTAAGGAAAAGCGGGACATTCCAGGATCGAATCAGAAACTAGGATGGCTTCTCTAAATCAGGGACATCCTTGGAAAATTGAGACACTTGGAGGATCTGCCTCAACATGTGAACAGAGATGCCTTAAGTACAGGCCTTGCCCCGCTCTAACAAAGTTGCTGTTGTTTTGTTTGTTTCTGCCTGGCATTTCTTAGCTCGCCAAACTGGCAACTCTTCCTCCTGTTGCACACCAGCGAGCAAGTGTAAGTGGATAATGACCGCCTCGCTTCGCCGCAGAACGGACTGCCCAGCCACTTCCAGGTCAACCCTAAAATGTCAAGAAAAGGAGTGGGGCCTGCAGCTGCTAGGCAAACCGTGAGGCGCTCCTTGGGCCTAGCTAGGCAGCATAACCAGGTAGCTGGGACCCTGGGAGTAAAGGTGTCTGTAGACGCACAAGCTGAAGGGTGTGTGTGTGTGTGTGTGTGTGTGTGTGTGTGTGTCACACACAATGGATGTGCACACCTCCGGTGCTTTATCCAAGAAATCAAGAAACTAGGGCATGCGGTGCCAGTTCGGGCTAAAAAAATTCCACACATCAGGGCTGCCGCAGGCTGTGAATTCTTGTGGCCTATTTTAAGCTTTAAAATACCCAGGCATTTTAGAGGGCAAAACCAGGCCATAAGATATTGCACTTCCCATGTCAAAGACAGTTGAATTCTCAGACGTTTCAAGCACTGCACTCTCGTTGCCTAGGCTTAATCCAATCATGGAAGTCACCTTCGTGTCAAAGCAGTTGTTTCCCCCCTTTCTTTTCCCTTTCCCCTTTTTTTGCAAGCCGGCTGGATTCAACTTATCGCCGTGCAACAGCAACGCAGAGTTTCTTGATGGTGTTCTTCTGCAAAGACTTTGCTGCTACAATTCATGACCTAGGCTTTGAGGCCTGGCCAAAAGTTTCTGTGCAATAATTGTGTTTCCAGAGTGGAGGGGGTCGGCGGCCTCTGAGACTGGCTGCAGGAATGAAAATCCATGCAGGATATCTCACCACACCCTCTGACTTGTGTGTACAACTCTTTTCTCTCTCCCAATTGTGATGTCCCAATGACAGTGCAGTAAAAGAGGTAAGCAATACTGAGAAGGAGGCTTGGAGGCACCTTGGCAACAAAAGCACACACTCCAAAATTTATCCAATGAAATTAGGAACGTCCTATTCAATAATAATAATAATGTTGTTGTTGTTGTTTAGTCATTTAGTCGTGTCCGACTCTTTGTGACCCCATGGACCAGAGCACACCAGGCACTCCTGTCTTCCACTGCCTCCCGCAGCTTGGTCAAACTCATGTTGGTAGCTTCAAGAACACTGTCCAACCATCTCGTCCTCTGTCGTCCCCTTCTCCTAGTGCCCTCAATCTTTCCCAGCATCTCTTCTCATGAGGTGGCCAAAGTATTGGAGCCTCAGCTTCAGGATCTGTCCTTCCAGTGAGCGCTCAGGGCTGATTTCCTTAAGAATGGATGCGTTTGATCTCCTTGCAGTCCATGGGACTCTCAAGAGTCTCCTCCAGCACCATAATTCAAAAGCATCAATTCTTCGGCAATCAGCCTTCTTTATGGTCCAGCTCTCACTTCCATACATCACTACTGGGGAAACCATAGCTTTAACTATACGGACCTTTGTCGGCAAGGTGATGTCGCTGCTTTTTAAGATGCTGTCTAGGTTTGTCATTGCTTTTTCCCCAAGAAGCAGGCGTCTTTTAATTTTGTGACTGCTGTCACCATCTGCAGTGATCATGGAACCCAAGACAGTAAAATCTCTCACTGCTCTCCTGTTTCACCTTCATTAAAAGGTTATTTAATTCCTCCTCACTTTCTGCCATCAAGGTTGTGTCATCTGCATATCTGAAGTTGTTGATATTTCTTCCGGCAATCTTAATTCCGGTTTGGGATTCATCCAGTCCAGCCTTTCGCATGATGAATTCTGCATATAAGTTAAATAAGCAGGGAGACAATATACAGCCTTGTCGTACTCCTTTCCCAATTTTGAACCAATCAGTTGTTCCATATCCAGTTCTAACTGTAGCTTCTTGTCCCACATAGAGATTTCTCAGGAGACAGATGAAGTGATCAGGCACTCCCATTTCTTTAAGAACTTGCCATAGTTTGCTGTGGTCAACACAGTCAACTGCTTTTTCATAGTCAATGAAACAGAAGTAGATGTTTTTTCTGGAACTCTCTAGCTTTCTCCATAATCCAGCGCAAGTTTGCAATGTGGTCTCTGGTTCCTCCGCCCCTTCAAAATCCAGCTTGCACTTCTGGAAGTTTTCGGTCCACATACTGCTTTAGCCTGCCTTGTAGAATTTTAAGCATAACCTTGCTAGCATGTGAAATGAGCGCAATTGTGCAGTAGTTGGAGCATTCTTTGGCACTACCCTTCTTTGGGATTGGGATGTAGACTGATCTTCTCCAATCCTCTGGCCACTGCTGAGTTTTCCAAACTTGCTGGCATATTGAGTGTAGCACCTTAACAGCATCATCTTTTAAAATTTTAAATAGTTCAGCTGCAATATCATCACTTCCACTGGCTTTGTTATTAGCAGTGCTTTCTAAGCCCCATTTGACTTCACTCTCCAGGATGTCTGGCTCAAGGTCAGCAACCACACTACCTGAGGTGTACGCAGTGGCGTAGCGTGGGGGGTGCAGGGGGGCCGGCCGCACCGGCCGCAACATCTGGGGGTTAGGGTTAGGGTGCGCAAATCCACGGGTTAGGGGGCGCAAATCCACGGGTTAGGGGGCGCAAATTACGCCACTGGGTGTACGAGACATCCATATCTTTCTGGTATAATTCTTTTGTGTATTCTTGCCACCTCTTCTTGATGTCTTCTGCTTCTGTTAAGTCCTTACCACTTTTGTCCAAAGCTGTACGCCGGCTCCCTCAGCCAGTAAAGCGAGATGAGCGCTGCAACCCCAGAGTCGGCCACGACTGGACCTAATGGTCAGGGGTCCCTTTACCTTTTACTTTGTATGAAAAGTTCCTTTAATAATAATACCCCTTCCATCTGACTACCACTCTGGGTAGCTTCCAACATATACATAAACAATAAACATTTAAAAACTTCCCTATAAAAGGCTGCTTTCAGGTGTCTTCTAAAGGTTGTATATTTACATATTTCCTTGGCTTGGGGGGGGGTCACATAACTCCACACCCACCAACATTGATCCAATGTAAATAAGGATGTCCTACCATACCCTCCCAAAATTTTCCGATGAAAATAGGGATGTCCTAAGGAAAAGCGGGACATTCCAGGATCAAATAATCAGAAACCAGGACGGCTTCTGTAAGTCTAGGACTGTCCATGGAAAACAGAGTCACTTGGAGGGTCTGCAAAGGCATTCAGACCCAGTTATAGTACAGACAGTAATCTATCTGTTGACAATAGGAGTCACAAGCCTTTTTTTGCCTCTGCATGTGGGGGAAGATCCAGAGCTTATGCCCTCAATAAAAGCCCTTCTGCTGGATCACACCTACCTAATCCAGCCAGATGCGCAAGTAGGACATGAGCACAAAGGCACTCTTCCTCGCTCAGGTTTCCCTCTGGCTCATAGGCATCATGGCAAGTTGCAAAATGCACTTATGTAAGAACGCTGCTGAATCAGGCCAAAAGCCCATCTAGTCTAGCATCCTGCCATCACAGTGGCATACCCTCCAACATTTATCTGATGAAAAGAAGGATGTCATCATCATCATCATCATCATCATCATCTTTATTCCCCATCCATCTTACTGGGTTGATCCAGGCACTCTGGGCGGCTTCCCACATATATAAAACATTAAACATTTTTTAAAACTTCCCGATACAGGGCTCATAGCTGTCAACCGTCCCTTATTTGGCGGGAAAGTCCCTTATCCCAGCGCTGTGTCCTGCTGCTGTCCCTTATTGATGATGTCCCTTAAATTTCCCGGGTTTCAAAAGGAAGCAGCTCCTCTCCCTCCCTGCCTGCCGGCCAGGGAGGAGGGAGGCTCCCACTGTGTTGCTTGGCTGCGTTGCTCACCCAATAAGGAGTCTAAGAACGACTGGGGGGTGGAGCTTGCATGCCTTGTGCCGATCAAATCGGCTGCGTTGCCTGGGGACTCGCCTTTGCTCAGTGCTTCCCAGCGGAGAGGTGACGGTGGTTTTCCTTGCTGCATCCCCTTTGCCGGGTTGCTGCGCTGTGGGAACCACCGCTTGAGGCTTCGTTTGGCTGCTGGCTGGGCTTTCTGCCTTTGGCTCGGAGCGGCTCAGAAGTTGAACATACCTGTGTTCAGAAAATCCCTTTTGGCTGCTGATCCCTTATTTTCGAGGCTGCTGGTTCCTTATTTTCAAATCTGTAAGTTGACAGCTATGACAGGGCTGCTTTCAGATGTCTTCTAAAGGTTGTATATTACTTATCAGCGTAAGCTAGAGTCCAACATGGCGGCAAGAGCTTTGGGGCAGCCCACCTAGGACGGTCTCACAACTCACCTGTGTGTCCTGTCCCACTGGTTGAAGACCTATGCTGCATTCCAGTCCATTCCTCCCAATTTTTCGTGCCCTTCCTGGCAACAAACAACATTCTGAAGTCTCTGAGCATGCTCAGTTCCCATTGGGCTGTTTTTGGGTGCATGGCATGGCATACCCCCTATAGATTTTAGCCTAAATCTTGTTTCCTACTTTACAAAGCTTAGGGTGCCCTTGCCCATGCTTATACCTCCTCTTCCTTGTTTCTCTGTATCCCCATTTTGGCTTCATGGCCATCATAACTCATCACTTGAGTTCACTATTAATGCATGAGACAATCCATACACAGTCGTACCTTGGATCCCGAATGCCTTGCAAGTCGAACGTTTTGACTCCCAAACGCCACAAACCTGGAAGTGAGTGTTCCGGTTTGCGAATGTTCTTTGGAACCCAAACGCCCGACACAGCTTCCGATTGGCTGCAGGAAGCTCCTGCAGCCAATCAGAAGCCGCACCTTGGTTTCCGAATGTTTTGGAAGTCGAACGGACTTCTGGGATTGGGAGCTTTGTCCATTTTAAGTCTTTTATTACTTATTGCATCCCTCCGCCAAAGAGCTCAACATGTTTCCCCCCTTATTATATTCACAACCTCCGTAAAGTTGGCAAAGCTGAGAGAGTGGGAATGACTGCCCCAGAGCCACCCTATACCTGCCGTGAAACAAAGGATGTAATAAATGAGGTGCATTGTTATTTATTTGATGTGTTAGCAGCCCTATACCAAAAAAAAAAAAAGATTCTAGAAAACTTAGAATAAAAATCCACTGAAGACCCAAGTGGTCTCTGGTCAGGCAGTGCCCTCCATTAGCCAGCCTGAAGTGATAGCTGCCACATTTCCTGGGGAGAGATAGCCTGATCACAGTTCTACATGCCTTGTCCACAATTACATTAGATCACTGCAATGCCTTGTCCTTAGGGCTGCCTTTGAAGACTGTTCAGGAACTTGAGTTAGTACAAAACGCAGCTGCTAACTGGAACCGGCTAGGGATAGGCTTGTGTGACATCATCTTTGATGTCATTTGGGCGCCACTCAAAGACCTTATTAATTGCACAAGGCGCCCCAGCATTTCATATAAGCCGAAGCTGTTCCTGATTATGGTTTTATCTGTTGTGCCAAATTTCAGGGCTCTGTTTTCATTTCGGTTTCTGCTATTTTATTCTGTATGGGTTTTATTTCTTCAATGGTTTTATCACTGTACCATAAGCCACACTTTTTTCTTTTTCTTTAACTGAAGGGTGGCATAGTTTTCTTCTAAACTTTAAAAAAAATTAAAAAAAATAAAGCACTGGGGAAAGTCAACCAGTTTTTACTTCCCGTTTTAGATTATTGTTGATTATGTCCGAAATGGGACAAACTGAAACTGCACCAACCATGACTGTTCCTGGAGAGGGATAGTTTTGCGACAGCAGTCCATACACTTGTAAGCTCACAATTAGACTAGTACAATGCACTGTATGTGGGGCTGCTACTTGCACTGGGTTCAAAACGTGCAGGCAGCTAGTGCACAATGCAGCTGCCTGGGTGGGGGGTGGGGGAACCTCAGCTTTTGCACATATCACACCAGTGTTGAGAGATCTGCACTGGCTGTGCATTAGCTGCTGAGCCAAGATTTTGCTGTTGACATTTAAGGCCTGAAACAACTTGGGACCAGGATACCTGGCAGACTGTCTCGCCTGATACAAACCAAGCTGATCTTTCAGATCTTCTGAGGAGACCTGGTCTAATCACAACCAGCATGGTGACAACATGGGAGCAGTCCTTCTCGCTGATAGCACCCACCCTCTGAAATGCCCTCCCTTGGGTAATTTGCAAGGCGAAGGCAAAAATGACCTTTAAAAGCCTTTTAAAAACTTACATGTTTACGCTGCTTTCCTGGACTCTGACTCTTAATTTTTAATTTTGTGGACAGCTAAGATTTATTTGTGATATACAGTTGCTTTCTGGGTTGTTGGTTTTTTTGGTGATTTTCCGGAAATTCTATTGAATGCTGTTTTGATATTTTCATGCAAACATAAAAAAATAAGTTATGGTCAGTGCTTTTTTTCTAGAAAAAGAGGTGCCAGAAATCACCATGAACCCTTGTTCTCTTATAATGACAGTGGTGCCTACCTGAGAGGTGCCAGAACTGAGTTCCGGTGAGTTTTGGCTGAAAAATAAAGCCTTGGCTATGGTTACTCTTAACTATAGTTAAGGAAAAACATGCCAATTTTATTCCTAAACCATAGGTTTGGACATAATAATAAACTGTGGTTAATCGAAAATGGAAGCAGTCATACCTTGGTTGAATGTTTTTGTTCCCAAATGCCGCAAACCCAGAAGTGAGTGTTCCGATTTGCAAACGTTCTTTGGAAACTGAATGTCTGGCGCAGCTTCCGCAGCTTCCGATTGGCTGCAGGAAGCTCCTGCAGCCAATTGGAAGCCGCACCTTGTAAGTCAAATGTTTTGGAAGTTGAAAGGACTTCCGGAACGGCTTCCATTCAGCTTCCAAGGTACGACTGCATTAGCTTCCAATCACCTCCCTATCAGCATGCCATAGGACAGAGAAAGGGTGGGAGAAAGCATACAAGCTTGTGTAATATTGCTAAACCATAGGTTAGCATTGTGTCTTAATCTGACTAATGTATAAGTTTTGATACAGTATACAGGCTTTCTGCCCCACCTACCGTTATGGCAGGCATTTTAACATAACTTTGTGAGGGAAAAAGGGTTGACTGCTGCAATGTGTTGTTCATGGGATTGCCTTTGAAGACTGTTCAGAAACTACAGTGGTACCTCGGGTTACATACGCTTCAGGTTACAGACTCCGCTAACCCAGAAATAGTACCTCGGGTTAAGAATGCTTCAGGATGAGAACAGAAATCGCACGGTGGCAGCACAGTGGCAGCGGGAGGCCCCATTAGCTAAAGTGGTGCTTCAGGTTAAGAACAGTTTCAGGTTAAGAACGGACCTCCGGAACAAACTAAGTACTTAACCCGAGGTACCACTGTACAGCTAAGAATATTAACTGGCTGATTATTCTGAAGATATCACATGAATGCTTTACAAACTGTACTGGCTACTACCCCATTACAAAGCACAATCAACTTGGGACCCAGATTCCTGAATGTACCTGGTGGTGGGTTGAGGTCCTCTTTGGAGACTGTTCTCCAGGTGCCCCACCACCTGAGGTGATGTATTACCTCCTGCACCAAAGACAATATGCCTCTGAATGACCAGTTTCAATGAGCATCATGAGTGGGAAGGTACTACTGTGGTGCTTGAGGGCTTCCTGTAGGCATCTGGGTCGCCACTGAAAATTTGGATGCTGTACTGCATAGACCATTGATCTGACCCAGCAAGGCTCTTCTACCGAGGCTGATGTTGCTGTTATTAAATTTATAACCCACCCTTCCTCGCGAAGGAGCCCAGGGCGGCAAACAGCAATAAAGCATCTTAAAAACAATTCCAATACAAATGCAGACTTGGAAAGATCTCGACTTAAAAGTCCTGTTGAAAGAGGAAGGTCTTCAGTAGGCACTAAAAGACAACAGAGGTGGTAGCTGCCAAATAATATTCAAGAGGAGGAAACTTCAAAGTGTAGGTGCCACACCACCTAGTGAGCCCAGCAACACCAATGTTCTTATGACCAGAGAAAGGGCCTTATCGATTGTGGTACCCTGTTTATTGAATACCCTCTCCACATAAGCTTGCGCTGTGCAGTAATTACTAACTTTTAAGTGGCCGCAAATATGTTTTTTAAAAACCTATAGTTAGATTTTTTATTTTTAAAAAAACTTGTTTTTTGTAAACTAGAAGCACTGCTGATGAGTGGTATATAATTTTTAACAAACAGTGGGGTTGATATGATTTAGGCCTCTCCTGCTCATAGAGAAACCATCCGTGTGGACATTAATAAAACACACCCACTGCCTCTGCTGTCACTCTGGCGTTCCTCACTGCACCTTATCCAAACCTCCTTGTGGTGAGACCTGTTGTCTCCTCCAGCTTTACAGAGAAAATACACATGGTCTTAACTGTGTAGTTCTGCCTCTGGGTGCAGATTAGTCTGTGGGAAGGAAGTGCCCTGAACTCAAGGGCAGAACTACATCATTAATATAGAATTGTTGAGTTGGAAGGGACCCTAAGGGTCATCTAGTCCAACCCCCTGCAATGCAGGAATCTCAGCGAAAGCATCCATGACAGATGGACATCCAATCTCTGCTTAAAATCCTCCAAGGGAGAAGAGTCCACAACCTCCTGTGTAGCATGGTCCTTAGGTTCAGGAATACACCAAGATGATCCACTGCAGTAGTACCTTGGAAGTTGAATGGAATCCGTTCCGGAAGTCCGTTCGACTTCCAAAACATTCAAAAACCAAAGTGTGGCTTCTGATTGGCTGCAGGAAGCCCCGCCGGATGTTCGGCTTCCAAAAATAGTTCACAAACTGGAAAAGTCACTTCTGGGTTTGCAGCGTTCGGGAGGCAAAACGTTCAGGAACTAAGCTGTTCGAAAACCAAGGTACAACTGCACAGTGTTGTGTAACTTAAGGACCACCTTCTTCCATGAGAACAGTGGTTCCATCATGGCAAAACTTGGGGGGCAGAAATCCAGGCCCCCACTCAGTTGAAAATGTAAAGGGCCACCAAACACAGCAGAGCTAACTTACCACACTTAAAAGTAAGTCATTAAGTCCAATGTTCAAAATATAAAATTACCTAACTAAACCACTGTGTAAGATCGAACCAAAACTCTTCCCCGTGTCTTGGAAGCTCTGCTTGAAATTTCTCTGCCATCCGCACTTCCACATCAGTTTGTGATTTATTTATTTTTATAAAAGTCCTCAAGAAAATACATCAACATTTCAGTGCAGACTTCTCCTAATATATGTATTACTGTGCCATTTTGCCTAACATACACATTTTTGCAAAACAATCTACTCTCTATTATAACACATTGTTAATTTTGCTAACGTGGATTTTCATGCACATTTTCTTCTAGCATGTGCACTTTTGTACACATTACTTGGCTATAGTACTGCATTGCAAAATTCAGAGACGTATGGATTTCAAAAGTTGCCTGTGTTTCGGTAAGTATGAATTTGGTAGTTTTATCTTTAATGTGAACTGAATCAAATTTCTTCCCTATCCATATCCGGGACAGAGTGAAACATCTGGGGAAGATTCTTTCTGCCCTCTTTCTCCTGGTTTTTAGAAACTGGGGTCAGTTTCTGTTTATTGAGTCTTCATCCTATTCAGGAGATTAGAGGACATAGCATCCAACAAACACTACCCCACACTGTCCAGTGCATTTCCCCCTAACTTTCCGTATCACAAAATCCCCATTTGGGGGTGGGCAGGTTTGTCGTGCAAAATCTTCAAATCATGCACTGCAAAACCAAGAGTTTACCAGTGCGTGACTGAATCACACCCAAAAATAGTGGCAGTCTGGAAGTATCCTGGATTAAAGGGTTGTTTTTATTAGACACCTTCTAGGCTCTCCAGTTATCTATAAGCTTTCTTGTTTGCTCTTATTAGTTTTTGTTCGTTGGTTTCCGGTTTGTTTTTCGTTCATCTCATTTGTTGTATATTTTTCTGATTATTTTATTTGTGCTGCTTTGCTTGCTATGTGTGACACGTTTTCCAAATTTAAAATGATTTTGTAAGCCCGTCGGGCCAAAAGGAGAGATAAAAATACAGTATGTATCTGACATTTTTGAAAGGGGGACTTTCTTGAGCCTCTTGAGGTTTCGTCGCTTCATTCATAATTCCCTGCTACTTTAAGATTTTGGGAGCCTTACCCTTTGATTAGGAGTGACTTGCATGGGGCAGGAATACCGTTTCCTTGAAGGAAATGCCAGCTAAGCTGTAGTAGCCACACTGGTAAGTCCACTTTCTAGTTTAAATTTTGGGCAATATTTCCCAGAATTTGCCAATTCAGAGGCCCAGATCAGAATTGGTTTGCTTGTTCAGTGGCAGCAATAAGATTAAGGAAACAAGCACTGGAGACTTCCTTTGAACCTTTTCCAGGGTCTAGCTAGGAGATGGGGAAGCCTTGCTCATTTGATGGGGAAAGGAGGGTCTCTTCCTTCCAGGTTGTTCAAGAGAAACCTAGAGAGCTTAGGGAATCAAAGATGGGCCCAAGCTCCAGACCAGGCCCTCCTATGTGCTTAGAGTGAGTTCAGAGGATGGAAATCCATCAAAGGACTGCTTGCCCGATCTATACCGAGCAGGATCCTTCCCCTTACGCGCTGGCAATGCTAGAGGACTGGGACCTTTCTTTGGAATGCCAGTTTCCCCCTTAGCTAAGCAGGAAAGGAGAGCAGACTCATCCTGCCACCGTTTGGTGCCCTACCTAGAGTTTTTATGGCTACTGTGCATCTTGTTAGTCCCTGATTGGCACCTAACGGCACGCCTCCATGGGCGAGGGAAGCACACTCCACACATGCCCAGGGGCAATTACCAGGAGGGATCCAACCCTGGCACTGCAAAGAACCTAGCGCCTGCTGGGCCCTCTCTCCGTTTATAATCTCTTCCCTTGCTTATCACTTGACCCAAGTCAGCTGGCTGCGGCCGGGTGGGGAGAGGGAGAGAGAGAGAGAGAGATCAGGGACCCAGGAGTCCTGCTTCCTCCTCCTCCTCCACCACCACCCAAACTCAGCCTTCCTCCTCCTCCCCATCTAGCTGTGTTGGGGCACCAGACCAGACCTCGTGCAGCCTCCCCCCCGCCCCGCCAATGAAGTGGGCGACGGGCGAGCGCGCCTGCTGCAGTCCGGAGCTTTGCTGCTTAGCGCAGTCCAGCGGCTCAGGCTCAAACCAGCCACTCCAGGGCGAGCGAGGGAGGGAGTCGGCTGCTCCGCTTTGCTTTGCTTTCTTTTCTCTTCCCTCCGTCTCTCTCTCTCTCCCTCGCTCTCCCACCTCTTTCTTTTCCGGGAGGGGATCCAATATCCCGCCCCCCCTTCTCCAACCAATGACATCACCAGCACCCCCAAAGAGCCTCTCCCAGCATGCAGCGCTGGCGGGCCCCGGAGACTTGGTCTTCGTTGCCGGTGGAGACGCAGAGGAGGAGGAGGCGGAGGAGGAGGAGGAGGAGGAGGAGGCTGGTGGCGGCGGCGGCAGCAGCAGCAGCAGCGCTTCGGGTCCTGGCAGGTGAGTGCACGGCGAGGCTTGAAATTAAAGATCGGTGGCGGCAGAGAGCGGTGGAGGGGGGGGCGTCCTCCCCTTCCCGAGCCATCCCCGCCTGCACTGAACCGGGGCAGGGGGCATGCCCTTTTTGCACTCCTCTATCCCTCCCTCTTTCCTCTCCTCTCTGCATCCGCAGCAGCCCCTTTGCCTTGCCTTCCCCGCTAATCTCTTTCTCCTTCTGCCGATCTCCCTCCCTCGCCAGCTTTCCCTTCTGACTTTCTCCTGTCAACCTTATCTGAGGCTCCTTCCTTCCTTCCCTCCCGCTGGAAGTTTAGTGGCTTTACTCCCCGGTAAGTGGCCTATGGCAGCCTCCCAGCCCCCTTGTTCCTCCTTCCCTCCCCGTCTCTGCTGTCATTCTCCTGCTCTCCGAGCCCGCTTCCCAAATCTCCTTTCCTCTTATCTTGTGGATCCACCCCCCTCCCCGATCCCGTCCTTCCTAACCCTCTTTTTCCTCCTCCTTAACCTTCTTCCTCTGCAAACCCTACTTCTGCATTTTTTGCGGGGTGGCGGCGGCAATTCTGCTGCTTTCTCTCCCTTTTCAGCACCCCGCCCCCCTCCCCGTTTTCCTCCTGCCCTTGAGTTCATGCATTGCTTCGTTCCCCTCCCTCGTCCAGCAACCTGACATCTCCCCTCTCTCCGTCCTTCTGTCCGTCCTCTCCACCTTCCCTCTCCCGCCGCCGCCGCCAGCCTCGTCTCCTTTCACTCCTGGGTTTCTTCTTTTAGCTCTGAGTTGCGGAGAGACCCCCTTTCTCTCTCCTCCTTTTACCCGCACACCCCGCGCGCGCGCTCCGCCGCCGCCCCACCAATTCTGCAAGATGCAAAGAAGGGCAAAGCTTCCTTCTGCCCTGCAGGTGCAGCAAAACTCCTGGGCTGGACAGCCGCCCCCCACCCTCCCCTCTTTCCCCTCCCTCCCCGTTTCCCCTGCGGGGCCCCTTTCTAACTCAGCCTCTCGCGCTGTGTATTTTCCTGTGCAGAAGCCTGGAAAAAAAAAGAGAGGGGGGGCACACACGCGCGCACACGAAAGAGAAGCAGATTGGACTGGAGGTCAAGTTCGGAGAGAGGGGAACCAGGAGCCTGGGAGGAGAAGGAGGAGGGGTTCCTACTCTCCCCCCACACCACCAAATCAGAGCAGAGGGGTCGGCAAGAGAATGGCAGGCAACTTCCCTCCCCATCCACCTTGTAAGATGCGCGTTCTTTGTTCGTCTGGATCGCTTTCCCCCTCCACCCCGCGCGCCCACTTTGTGGGAGCTCTTAACTGGGGAAAGAGAGGATCACCGCAAGCCCCCTCCCTTCCCCCCCGAGGATCAGGTAGGTCGGCAGGGCGGGGTGAGGGGCGCTGCAATGGGAGGCTGCTCCGAAGGAAGGAAGTTGAGGCGCTGGGGCCGCTTGGAAAAGATAGGAGGGTTCCTTTTGCAGGAGGGTTCTGCCCTCGAGCGCAAAGTGGGGGGAAGGCAGTGCGAGCCCCGTGTTTACTCGAAAGCAAGCCCTACACTTCACGGGGGCTTGCTCCTAAGAGTTGGGCTGCAGCATAAGAATCGTAGAATCCCCTTGATACTTTCCTCTTTCCCCCCGCCCGCCTCTTTTCTGTCATCTTTCCTAGGATTGGTACTGTGCGTTGCAATAAGCATTGCGAAGGGGACCCCTTTCAGATGTTTCTCCCCCCCCCACACACACATTAATGCACATATTTCGAGGGGAGGGGTGGAGGCTTTTCTACAAAATCAAAAGGAAAAGCGACTGTCAGGACACTTGGGTTCCTTTCCTGGGAGCCGGAAGAAAAGTGCAAAGTGGGTTGGAGCAAGCAGGCTGTGGATTGAGGCGCTCCTTTAATGGGGAGCGGGGATCTTGAAGTGGGGGGGGGGTGGAGCGGAAGATTGCCTTGGAAGTGGGGCCTGTAGGATTTGTGTAAGGTGGCTGCAGGCGAATCAGATCCGGAGATCATGAATTGTTTTCCAGTTACGCATTGGGCATCTTGGGCGAAGGTTTGGGGTCTTGGCATCTGGGGGTGGGGGAGGAACACAAATCCAGGCAACCTCCTTGGGAGACAGCAGCAATTCTCTCTTCCCTGCCACCCTGCCTGGTTTTGCTTGCCTCTCCCCCTCGCTCTCTTTCGTCTGTCCCTGAATTCTGCCATTCCACTGCCCATATAATTTATTCATCCCAAGATGCACCTCTCTGCAGTTGCAGGCAGGAATGGGGGAGGGGGGCCCAAAGAGCTTGCCTCCCCCCCCCCCCATGACTCTACATTTTGCTTCTGCTTGCAGCCCCTAACCTGTCCTCCGTGGAGCAGGGGAGGAGGGCATTGTGGGAGGTTTGGGGCATCCATGGAGCTGAAGGGGTGTGTGTGTGTGTGCCCCCCTCCCCGCTAACGTTTAGGGGTGGGGAGGGCAATGCAACACGAGAGTAGGAGGAGCCCAGGGAAAGCACCGAGTACAGCTTGGTGTTGAGGCGGGAGAAGGGAGATGGGGCATTTTCAGGGTTTGAACAGCGTCTCCCTTCCGTGCCCCCCCCCTTTTGACTTGGAACTTGCAGAGTGTAAATGTTATTCTGCTGAGATTCGGGAAGGGGTGGGGTTGAGAGCAGGAGAGCATGTCTTTGGGATAGAGCTGGAAACACTCTTTCATTTGGAGGTGGTTTGCATGATCTGCTGAAATAGGTTGACTGAGGATTTGGAGAAGTAAAGATGAATTTAGAGCAAGGGTGGCAGCTAGGATTCCAGACTCCTCTTCCCTCTCCCTCTATTCCGAAAATCACACCTCTTTCCATCTTGGCAGGATCAGGTACAAGAACCCCCCTCCACCCACCCACCCCACAATCCTAGCCGAGTTGGCTGCTCTTTTGAGAGCTGTGGCACTCACAGGGTTAATGTCTGGCAGTCTCCTTGGTGGGGAAGGGCGGGTCTGGAATTAAAGGGTCAAGGGGGAGAGACCCAGCTGCAGCCTGTCTGTGAAGCCAGACAGGGTCAGAGGTCATGGGCGAGGTCAGGGGTCTCTCCCAGCGCAGCCTCCATTCATTGGCAGCGCTTTGCGTGAGCATAAATCAGTTGGCCTAGGAGGGGAGTGGGGTCTAGGGGGCTACAGGCAAGGAGTGGGGCACGCCTCTGTGGTGCTTGGGGAAGCTGCTGCAAACTGGGAATCCTCGGCTCACATCCTTATATAACACAGCCTTACGGCTCTCCATGCGTGAAAACACCCCTCCCCCTCTCTCAGTCTCGCTGTACAGTGCATAGAGACAAATCCATATACCACTCGTGCAACACAGTCATGAATGTGTGTGCACGTGTTTGCACTATAGTTTGTGTAGCAGCACGCCAGAAAAAGTTAACACGTGTTCAGAACCACCTCCGCAGTCCAGGGAAGCAGATGCATATGTTCCTCATCAAAGGTGTCGCTGCATCCGTGCATGCGTGAGTGCACACAAACAGCCTCTGCTAAGATGTTCCAGGGTGGGGCAGCATCTTGGGAGTGGGGGGCATAGCCTTTTGGCTCCCCACTCTCTGACATATATTGCAGCCGCCTCTGTGTAGAATAACACTAGGAGCAGTGGGGGCACGTCCAGCACACACACACAGACACAAATTATGAAGAATCATGCATTATTCTACAACAATTACCTAAGTTCATTGCTCAATATGCAGATGCATGTGTACTCTCTCTTCCATATACACTGCACAAGTGCACCTTCTTCCCCTATATATCTTTCTATTCACTCACCTCTGAATATGACACCATCCCACAAATTCCAACACAGCATAGATCCCAGGCCCCTTGTGGTTACTTCCACGTCTCTTTTGCGCAGGCACCAACCAGCCTGTAACACAAGAGATGTGCCTTCATACCCCAGAAATCATACCTGCTCCCCTTAGGCGAGGACTGGGCCCTTCCCACCGGTAGGAACCAAACCTTAATGCAGTGGGTAAAGCACATTATAATGGTCTGTAATATAACGAGGAGCAACGCTTAGTTTGAATTAAATGCAACCATCACCCCAGTGCTATGAATCAGCAGATAAGTTTTCCATGGGGATAAGGATGCATCTGAAATTTCACATGCACGGCCTCCAAGAGTTATGGGAATACCTGACTTATCAATAATCGGGAACTCTCACTATAATGGACACATTTGAGAACAAAAACAGAGCGGCAACTAGCTAGCTAGTTGCCTCAGAAAGGTATCAGACCTTATAAGATGGGGCTGTGGACTGGTGGGGGAGACTTTGAGGTGTCTGGTTTGTGGGGAAGACTGCTGCCTGGTGATTTCACCACTGCCCCCCTCCCCACCCCCTCAGTTGTGACCTACTTTCTTAACAGCCCAAGTAAAGGTGTTTTGGATGGTGATGATAAGTGGGCTTGGGGTGGTGGTCCTGATCTGTTCTCCCTTTCTGGCTTAGAGGGGGCTGTATTTGTCCATAGTTTTTTAATTTAAGTGCGTGTGTGTGTCCCTGTTTTTCTGCTTGAACATGCAATTTGACTAGGGTGCTTTTTTGTGCTGGGTTGTAGCTAAAAGCTTTGATCCCAAATCTTAGCCCAGTGAAATTATGATTTAGTTGGCAGGGGAGGGGAGGGGGCTATGCCCAGGACACCCTTGTGTATCTTATCTATGTTTGGCTAATTGTAGAGCTCTGGGAGAAGATATGCGTGTGAACGGGCACGGCAGTATGATGTGCAAAGGTGCTGCATGCTCAGGGAGGCCGTGTTCACCTAGCGGAGCACGCCTGCACAGCCGGTCTTTTGTGCACACAAGCATGCAGTCTCCTACAGCCCCTATGCCACCACCCCCATGTACTTTCACTGCCTGTGTTAGAGCCAGAATCCTCTTAAGAACTTGACCTCCCAACCAGCTCTAAGGCGGTGTGTGTGTGTGTGTGTGTGTGTGTGTGTAAGAGAGAGACCGAGAGCAGGGAGGGAATTGCAGCACAGCAGGGACAGATGGGGGAGGGGAGCTTATTGCAGTGGTCCCATCACTAGCTATTTTCCTTCCTTGCTCCTTATCCCTTTACTTTTCTGCCCCCCCTTGCCCTCCCCTTTCCCCACTTTGTGGATATCGCAACCTTGGTCTCTCCCCCCATATCCTCTGTGTTAGGAAGGTGGAAGCCTGCATTCAAATAAACTGGCAAATGTTTCTCTTTGCAATACTGTAGTTGCTCAGGGACTGAGCCTCTCTGAGCTGTGGTTTGAGGGGCATGGTGGAGGGTGGGGATTCTTCCGTCCTTTCGGTGCGAATGAGGTCATGAAAAAGGCCCTTTGAATACAAACCACTGTGGTATAAACGGCTGGTCTGGACCGGTCTCTGTGTGTTTTGAATCCTGCACCATGTCAAAAACGCACAATGGCACCCTGTGATCTGTTTCCCCACCTGTCCAGATATATAGATATCCTACCCATCGCTCTACTTAACTCAGCCAGCTTCTTATTGCCACCCTTTTTTCTAATGCACACCCATCCATGTCTTGCAATACACCGCCTGCCCTTCATCTCTCCCCATTCATCCATCTCCCCTACTGGCTTCCTCATCCATTCATCACCCTTTATAGGCACTGATCTATTTCTGCTCCTGATAGGCAACTTCCAGCCCAGCTCTGTATTCCCCCGCCCACTCGCTTTTCCATCATTCTTCAGCCTTACACATCCGGTGATTCCCATACAACTTTCTATGCCGTCCCACCCCACGCCCTTGCCTTCAACACCATATGCTCGTATTTACCGCATCGTCTGCATTTAGCCACCCATGTCGGCCACCATTTCCCACATGATTTTCCATTCTCACTTGTTCAGATATGCCCAGGTTTCCACATACCTGAAGGGTCTCGCACTGCTATTTGGTGGTTGCTGGAGAGGTCAGAAAGCATGTGTAAGGGCAAGTGTTTGTGGGGATGACAGGCCTACCTTAAAGGTTTGGGGCGGTTATGAGGCACCTTCTCTCTATCTTGCCCTGTTATTACCTCTTCTGTTGGCCTAATGTGAATTATGGATTTCCCCCACCTTAGGGGTCAACACTTTTGCTTTTTGTCCTTTTTGTTTGTGTGTTTCCATCTCTCTCACATGCCCACTTGCTCAGCCTTTCCAGGAAGCATATCTGTGTCCCCAGGATTTGTGCATTATGGTGGGTGGGTGGGTGTAAGAGGAGGATGGGGCAAAGAAGAGAAAATGTGCAATGGCATGACCATCCCCACCTACCTAAGAACTTGGGGTTTGGAAGGAGGGAATGAAGGAAGTGGTTTGACCTTAGAGAAGAATGGGTTGGACACAGCTTTCTCATATTACAGCAGAGACAAAAATGTCATAATTATCAGAGTTGGGCTAGTGCTACTAAAATAGAAGTAGCTTCTTCATGTTAGGCCGCATGCATAAGGTTTGTGAGGCTATGCAAAGTCTCAGTTGGTTTCATGTTCCCATAACAGATGGTCCTGGCAGGTAAGAACGAGGTGAAAGGTTTGCCATGCCAGGCTGTTTAAAAGGCCAGGCCCTTTTGCAGGGAGGAGAGTGTGATGTATCTTCCATGACAAAGCAAGCAGGTGGCTGCCAGGTCAGCCCCAGTTTCCATCACTGCCACCACCCAATTTTTTCAGAGCTCTGCATGCTTGCTGTAAGGAGGAATTTGGGAGTGGGCCCACTTAACTGATCCAGGGCACCAGTCAATGAGACATGACTTGTGACATTTTGGGAGTTTAAGAGTGCTTCTAGTTGGATCCTGGGTTTTCAGATGTCGGCGGCATAAAGAGGATTCAAATCTGTGTTAGCGATTGTGGACATGGGGCCTGATGGTATGGTAGTTATCTCAGAGGATGCCTTCTTATGCAGATAGTGTATCTCTGTTCCCAGAAGGGGAGTGGCAGAACGCAGAGTCCCAAGCAACGTGAGTTTGGTTGTTAGCAAACAGGTTAGTACTCATGGACAGGGTGGACTTCCTTCTGGAACTGTCCTAAGACCTAGGCAGTTGCCTTTCTGACCAGGAGGCCCTGTTCCCATTGCTCAGTCTCCCCCATTGCTCACTCAAAGCAAATAATAGCTAATTCTCCTGGACAAAAGACCTGCACCTACATTCTAACATCATTCCATCCCTCTCTACCACCTACCTAATTCCACTCCCCAAACCCGGGAAACCCAGGAAAAGAAGGACCTTTTCTTGGCAGAGGAAAACCACAGGTCCCTTATTCCATGGCTAGTCCTAGGGGACAGCTAAGATGGCGGTTTCAGTGTGCGCCTGTGTTTTAAGCAAGGCCAGCCCAACAGGGCGCCTCATGTAGCGAATATGGAGAGCATTTTAAGACCATTTGAAGTCCCAAATATCCTACTGACAAACTGTCTCAAGATACTTGGGGGTGGCTGAGAGATGAGAATGTGGATCGTATACAGGTTTCCTAGAATGGTTTCTCCAGGCTGGTTCCATCTTGCCTAGAGGATGACAAAATATTGGAATATGGGGTAGGAAAAAGCTGAGTGGCAGTGCAGCAAATTACTCAGGTGATAAAAAGGCTCATTTTAAGTGAAGCAAAGGCCGGGGGGAGGGGGGTTGGTGGCAGTGAAATATTTTAAGGTGGCAGGATTATTGTTTTTGATCAAAAATCAGGTGTGGGGGCATAAACCCTGTTAGAGAGATTCTGGGATTTCTGTTTTTCGTGGATTTCAAATGTATGGGGTGTCATGTCTCCCAGGGGGTCCCTGCATTGTGTTGGCCTCCTGGGTTGTTGGTCGGCACCGCGCATTGTCTTGCTCTCTAACCCGGTCGGTATCCTTTGCTTTCTTGACTTCCGTGGCCAGACTCCTTAGCCCTCAGACTGTCCCATAGCCTTTGTGTGGTGATCAGCCTCCGAAACCGTGTGGCCTTGCGTAGTTGTCTCGGGTGTGTGTGTGTGTGCGCACACATGTATTTGTGGGTGCACGCCTCTGTGGGTACCGTGACACTGCAGTCTGGTGCGTGCACGAGGGTCACTGCTGTGCACTTGCTTTGCTGTTTTCTCTTTGTCGCGTCCCCCTCCGCTCCCCCCCCGCGCGTTTGGCGCATGCATTCAGTTTCACCTGTGCGCATTCTTGTGGCATTGTAATTTATCTGCTGCTGTGCATTAGCCGGGTGATGTACATGGCTGCGTCGCTCTTTGTCTGCATCAGTGGTGCTCTGTGCTTCTGTATCGCGGCAAATCACTGCTTGAGGCTCATCACCTTGGCTCCAACTGTTTGCTCCCCGTGCATGTGGTGCTTCAGCCCGGATGTCGCGGCACATGCATGTGTGTGTGTGTGTGTGTGCACTGTTGTACGTCTGTATCAGGTGCTAGACTGATTCTCCTGGAACTCTGCCCCAACCCCGCCCCGTAGTGTCTGTGTCTCAGCCTCTTTCCCCCTCCCCAAGATCCCCCTTCAGGGGTCAGGGAGTGCCAGCGAGACAGTCTGCCGCCATGGCAACGAGGCCTAACACAGGCTTCAGCCTGACAGTTCTGCTCCCCCCTTAACCCTTCCGGGCCCAGGTTTCGCTACCTCTCCCCAACCCACCCGCTTGCCCCAATTCAGTCTGCTATTGAGTCCTCTCGTCCAGAAACTTTGCTAGTTAGCTTTTCTGCTGTAAACCCCTGCGGCTTAAAAAACATGGTGACCCCTCTCTCCCCGCTGCCAATACCCCTGACTTTGCAACATCAAAGTTGCTTAATTGCTTCAGCCCCAGACCACCCTTCTAATGGCTTTGTACCACCCCTGCATCCGCATTGCCGGTACGGCTGCTGTTGTGACGCTAAGCCAACCCCCACCCCCCACCCCCCAAAAGCCCTTCCTATTCTTTTGTGTCATACTTAAACCAAACCTGAAAGATCCAATTTCCCACCCACCATGCTTTTCAGCTGTTGCTACAGCAAAAAAAGGGGGGCAGGCACCTTGTTCTTCTAACTACAGAGTTTTCTAAAGGATGAAGTATTCATGGGGACTAGATGCATGCCCTTCCAGCCATATCTTATTTTCTCACTGTGTATACTAGCTGTAGGTGTGGGTGGTATTTTAGCCTCTTAATAAGTTATATTTAGCTGGATCCCACAATACTTCATGATGATGATGATAGTTTCCTGGTGGATCTTACAACTTTGCTATTATATTGTACAATTTGGGAAGCTAGATTCGCGTCCAACAAACATGGATTTGTGGAGGACTCCAAATGCAATATACAGTATTTGTTTTTCTAACCATAAGGGAAGGGGCACATCTGAAAATAAGATTTTCAGGTTTTATCTGGTGGGTTGGGCCCGCTGTCAGGCTTCATGGAACCACTTTTATCCCCTCCTCCCTGCATATGAAGCTCCTGTAATTTTTTTTAAGTGTACCTATTTTTACTCTTAACAAATGTTGGGAGGTCATGTAGAAGCCACAGATTGACAATAAGCAGCAGCTGCCGTGAGCTCAAAGGGTTGTCAAGAGGCCCTGAGAGGTGAGGAAGGGAAAAGGAGAGAGTCCTCTCTTAAGCAGGAATATTATAACTCAAGAATGGGCATCTTTTTGTGGGCCCCTGTACCTTTTAATAGCTATGCAGAAGGAGGAGCACAATAGCCCTGGTCTGCTTGTAATCCCCAGTAACTGGTATTTCGAGACACCCAGCCACCGATACTGGACATACTGGATGTAGCATATCATGACCAGTAGCCATTGGGAGCTATTCTCCTCCACAATTTTTTCTCATCCCCTTTAAAAAGCCACCCAAGCTGTTGGCCTCTTGTGGCAGGGAATACCACAGTTTAACCGTGTGCTTTGTGAAAAAGTCCTTCTTGTTTGTCTGAACCTTCCGACATTCAGCTTCTAGCACAGTGAGAGAAATTTCAGTGCACCACTCCAATATGAGAAGCAGCATCTGCCAAAACATTTTTCCTGCATATGGCTCTTAAAAACACAGACACCTTGATGCAGAAGAAAGGTTGGTTGTCTTCTCCTTGACTCCTCCGCCGTTATGAACGATAAGAGAAAGACTCCCTCTGCCCTTTCCTTCCCAATGTGCCTTTGTCCGGCATGAAGCACATGGCTGTTTGCATTATAAGAATTCTGGGATGCATCTGTATGCCTATTGTCACAGCGGAAGGAATGGGGTTGCATTCTTTGGTTCTTAAAGCTGACTGGGTAGGGGAGCAAGGCACACTCCCCTTTGAATAACCCCTACCAGAAGACTGCATGCTGTTGGCTTATGTTAATGTGAACGCAGCCTGGTATGAGGAAGAGTTTTGTATACCATTGGTCCATTGCAGAGAGAGCTGAATTGCCTTGATCCTTGTAACACATCGCATTTAAATCAGGCGCTAAGCAAGAAAGGGACTGCAAGCTTCTGTGTTTATAAGAGCATCCTTCAACGTTAGTACAGGAAACAGCCACCCTTACCATTGCTGCCTTTGAGGAAAAGCCAGCACAGCAATCCTGACCCAGCTAGCTTTTTAGCTGGGCCTAAGGCAGGGGTATAGGACATTTTAGGCATGGCTGGCCAGATCTTTATCTCTCTCCATCCTATGGGCCAATTTTTGACCAGTTGGTGAGACTATGCTCCTGTCAATCATCTGACATCATAATGCACAAGCAGCCAATCCAGTCATGTGACATGGGGTGAACAGCAGGTGGACGTGATTTGGGGAGAATGGCCTCATGGGCCAAATAGGGAGCCGGATTTGGCCCAAAGGCTTGAGGTTCCCTACCCCTTGGCCCAAGGGGTGTTGGGAAGGGGAAACTTTGAGGTTGATTAGCAACTACATTTCACCTAGTATCCCCTAGTTCTAGCTTCTGCCCTTAATGGATACCTTTGCCACTGGTGGGTATAATGAGCCACTGCAGCAGAAGGCAAGGTAAAGGTAAAGGGACCCCTGACCATTAGGTCCAGTTGTGACCGACCCTGGGGTTGCGGCGCTCATCTCACTTTATCGGCCGAGGGAGCCGCCGTACAGCTTCTGGGTCATGTGGCCAGCATGACTAAGCTGCTTCTGGCGAACCAGAGCAGCGCACGGAAACACCGTTTACCTTCCCGCCAGAGCGGTACCCATTTATCTACTTGTACTTTGATGTGCTTTCGAACTGCTAGGTTGGCAGGAGCAGGGACCGAGCAACGGGAGCTCACCCTGTTGCGAGGATTCAAACCGCCAACCTGATCGGCAAGTCCTAGGCTCTGTGGTTTAACCCACAGCGCCACCTGCGTCCCTTTTTGCAGAAGGCAAAGTTGACTGCAAAGATGGTGTGAATGCTTGCTTATTTATTTATTTATTTATTTATTTAACATTTAAATCCTGCTGTATGACTTTATGAGGCCGTTGTGTTGACTTGCCATTCAACCTTTTTCTAACGATTTTTGACTTTCAATTCTAAAACAAACAAACAAACAAACAAAAAACCCTGTTGAAATCCACCGAGCTGAAAATTATTATTATTATTATTAATAATAATAATAACAACAAATCAACTGTAAATAGTAAGCTGGCTCAGCCTCCGAAAGCTGACTGAAATAAAAGTGGAACAAGTCAGTGGAAGGCGAGGACAAAGCTAGCTTGGTGGGCTTCAGTTCAGGTAACCATTTACAGGTTGCCAAAAGAGAGGAAATGCAACCCTAGGCGGGGGGGGGGGCAAGTGGGCACAGATTTGCATAAAATAATTACCAGAATTTAAATAGAAATGCAATACATCTCATCATCGTGGAGAAGCCTGTGACCTGGGAACCTTTGTGCCTTCTCTTTCTGGGGTCTTGGCATACAAGGAGGCCTGTAATAGAGGAGTCGTTTTCCTTATGTACGGTATTCCTGAGTCTAGGCCTGTGGCAAATTCATTCAGCCCTCAGTATCATCCCGCTCTCCAGAAGCTGTGGGCCACTCTTGCTATCTGGACTGCGTTCCTTTCTGGTGTGTGTGTGTGTGTGTGTGTGTATGTGTGTATGTGGGTGGGTGGGTGTACGCCCAAACAAGAGATAGTGAGGCAGGGAAGGGATGGGATGGCACAGAGGGAGAAGAGGCTGTGTAATTTGGCAGTACTGCAAACACCTTCTCGTTTTGACACTGCCTCTGCCCACAATCTCCCCACCTACGCAATGATTTTT